CCAAAACAGCATCTTTTGGACTTCTTGCGGCACTCGCACTCCTTATGCCACCGCCCGCGCCCCGGCCCACGTCCACGCCCACTCGAGCCTCAGGTTCCGCGACGCAAGCATACAATTAGCTTTTATGGTCGCAGTGTAAAAGAAAATGTCGGTTTTGGCCATGGCCCGGACGCACTTGGCGTATGGTAATTTGAAAATATGGTAATTATGAAGCGGCATTAACAAAAAAGAAATTATATATATATATATATATATATAAAATGTGTATGTAAGTAAAGTTATTTATGTTTGCTTATGTATGTAGAAAAGAAAAACAAGTAGAATAAGTAGAAGAAGAAGAAGAGGCGGCGCCACCTCTGACATCCTGGCTGTCTGTTCTAATTAGGCGCACATAAATTTTGTTACAAGAACAGCAATAAAAGCAACAAATCCTAAATAACAATTAAAACAATTTGCAAGATTAAAAACACCTTACGGTCGATGCTTTAATATTTTAATTAAAAATTCTTTAGCCGCAATATGCTGGCGGCCAGGCACAGTCCGAGGTGTGGCATGCCACTCTCTTTTGTTGCTGTTCCTGTTGCAAATGCCGCGTGTTAGCCATAGCCAGCGGTCGAGTGTTCTGAATGGTCTCCGGAGGCCTATGACTTTGAATTATTGCAGGCCCAGTCATAAATTAAGTGCGCGGTCCACTGAGGGCTGAACGCGGGGTGGCGAGTGGCCCAGGTGAGGGGCAGAGTGTTGTGCCAGTGGCAAGGTGGCAAGGTGGCAAGGTGGCTGCTCAACCTTCTCGAGTGCCGTTTAGCGCGTGCTAATAATCTTAAATGGATGCGAGATGCGATCAACGCGCTCCACTCGAATCGAATTTAAAGCAAAAGGATCTGCTCTTAAAGCCAGCTGAATCTAAATATTTCAAATTGCTTCAAAATTCAAGAAAAATGTTGTAGTTTTTATTGCAGGGCATCTTCAGAATATCTCCCAGTCGGGCTGTCTCAACTGGAGCCGTCTGACTTGTGATAATTAAATTGAAAGTTGTGTTTGCACAACAAAATAAACATTTTAAAAATGGAGACATTCGAGAATTACTAATTGCTCAATGATAAAACTGATGACTTGGAATATTTCAATCAGAGAATAAATACCTTCGAGTTCGCACACTTTGAAAGATTTTGCCGTCCTGTTAATGTCGTTACTCATTTTCGTTCATTTTCCACAGAAGGACTTGTCTGATTTCTAGATTATTTTCTCATTATTTGGCACAATCTAGTTTGTGGCAAGAGCTTATTTGCATGCAATCAACACGTACAACTAAAGTAAACATGCTTCTGGATATCACCACACAAATGCGTTAGTATAAAGTCCACAAGAGATAATAATAATAAATGTTAGTGGAGAGGCAAAAATGGTTGTCATTTGAGGGTTATTACCAGGCCCAACTCCCGTCGAGCTATACGAATAAACAACTGATTGGGGGCAGCGCAAACTTGTTGCATAAACTCCGACACATCCTGTTCCATGCTGCTGCTGCTGCTTGGCCCGCTTGCTCCTTTTGTAGGCAAAGCAATTTGAACACAATAAAGCCGAACCGTCTCTGGCTGAGCCTGCATATTAAATTCACAGGCACTTGGCCGAGGCCTTAAACCGTCGTAAATAAATGCGAAGGCTGCTGAAGGACCAGAAGGAGTTAACCGTTGCGGCCGCGCAATCAAATTCAGATACTTGGTGACGCTCTTTTTGCCCCACAGTGTCCCCTCACATCTCTCTCTCTCTCTCTCTCTCTCTTTCGCTCTCTCTGTCTGTCTATCGGTCGTGGCTGTGGTACTTAAGTGTCGTAAAGTCCTTTTGCGTGCAGCGGCAACAACATCATCGGCAGGGACTTTTATGATTTATGCAACTATCGCCTGCAGCCGGAGTCAGCGTCTGTGCCACAGTCCCAGCCCCAGCCTCAGCCGAAACCGGCGTCGGGACACCAGGACAGCCTGGAGGACAGCCCATTGCCGAAATCCTTGAGGCGCTTATATTTTTTTCTGTTTCTGTTTTTTTTTTTGTTCGTGGCTCTCCAAAATGTGCACTTTTTTTTTATTTAACGTGAGCTGAGCGGTTAGCCTGGATGGGGGAGGGGGGGTCGACATTCATGAATAAAAGATTTTCAAGTGTGCCACCCCCGCCGCCCGCCGCCCGCCACCCAAACACACTCTAAGAAGCGCCCTTCTCGCACTCAGTTTTCTCTCAATTTATTGTGCTTCTGGCCTTGCCGAGTGCAAATAATAAGCAGCAAGTGCACAGCCACGCCCACAACGCCTCCACACAAGCACCTCTCTCGCTTATTCTCTCCCTCTCCACCTCTCCCTCTCTCTCGCACTTACACGCCCACACAATTGCCGAGGACAGATGAAAATGGCGCCTTTGGAAAATTAGCAAAGCAAAGAGTTGCAGTTTACTTGCCATTTAAGCGCCGCACTCGACAGTTGTGTTTGTCAGTGGCAGCAACAATAACAGCCAGCAACAACAATAACAACAACAACCAGCAGCAACAGCAACAATCAGCAACAATAACAAAGCTTCAGCTGAGGTTGCATTCGGTCTTGTTTGCCGTCACCATTTACTTTCTTTGTTTGTTGTCTCTGAAGATCGCTGGGCTGGGCCAGAAGCGGATGCCCAAAATAGCCACCTGGATGTCGGATGTTCACACGCCCCCAAAAAGCAGGCAACACTTTTGTCTTGTGCAAACTGTGCACCACAAATCCCTTAAAAGAGCTGTTGCCTCCCAACATGAGGCTTGGGCAGCATTTGTGCCTTCTACATGAAAATAGCTATAAAGCTATATGGCTATATTTATCCAGAATATTTAGATATTTCAGAATGTATTTATTTTTGTATTAATTATTATTTAAACATGTACCTGAGTATGTATACAAATATTCAAAGATTTATTTCAAATCTTGTTATTTTTACGTCAAAGCTGTCTCAAGATTAACTATTTTCCTTAGACAAAAAAATAATCACAACATAATTTATGCTGAAACTAATAGCTATTTTTGAAGGTGTATTTATTTATTCAATGTGCACTTAAAACAATCCACAAGTATTAAGGAGATTTTAAAAATGAATACTTCAAATTACATTTTGAATTGAAATTACAAAATTATATTTTAGGAAAACGAGAGTAATTAAATAACAAAAATAAAGCAGGAAATGTTGTCAAAGGTATCCTTATTTCGCTTGTAAGTTTAAGTAACTTACAATTATGCAGTGGAGGAGTCTTAAAAACGTGAGAGAGATAAAGCTAAAACTTTATTCATAGCTTTCAATTGTGTATAGACATAAGGTCAATTCCAATTCAAGGCATTGCTTCTCTATACTCGTACTTTAATGGTACTTGGAGTAAAGGCTGTTCACATATTTTGTTGAAAAGTTCTCGAAGGAATTTAATTATACGTGATATGTAAATATCTGCCACATATAAGCAAGTTTTTACTTAATTCTACATTGGGCATTTTAGCAGTTGATTTCAAATCATAAAGCGCGCCTCATTTAATGCCTCGCACTCTCCAGCACTGGGCCTGAAGTGCGGCCAACTTCATACATTCATTTTAAACTGTTATCAACAGTGCCATTGTGAGCTGAACGTGCGGTGAAGAGTTCATCGGCAACATATGTTAAGTAACAGCCTGTTAACAGTTTGCTGATCGAATGCAGTTAGCCGATTATTAAGTGCGACCACACTCTTCGATAACAGCGTGTTATTTTCCTGCTATGCCATGTTGGTCACATCGAACAGTTGCCGAATTGTTTTTGTCGTGAGCGGTTGATGTGGACGGGCGCAGCGTTTCGCATTTTATGTACGTTCATTTCTGTAAACGCCATTTATGTGTATGCGCGCGAGTGTGTATATGTGTGTGTGCTTGCATGCTAGCCAGTCGTTGTTTTTTGCGCCTTTGTACAGTAAAAATTCATATTTAGCTGCTAACGCGCTGCACTCGTAGCAAATGTGAGTGGCAAAATGAAGCGTGCGAAAAAAAAGTGCAAACTGGCGAAGCCGCTTGCCTCGCATCCAGTTGCTGTTGTTGTTGTTGTAGCCTAAGACCAGCATTTTGTTGTTGCGCAGCGCGCATTGTGTGAGAGAGTTGTGTTTGTGCATGTGTGCGTCTCTATCTGTGTGTGTGTGTGCGTATAAATTCCAAAACATACGCTTGCACAGTGGCACCAAAAGTGAGCTCACAATTATTTCCATGCCCGGCTTTGGGCATCTATGTGTGCGAGTGTGTGTGTATTTGGGTGTGTCGTTAGCCGTGTTTATTATAATTTTCCTCGTTTTTGTATTTCGTTGAGTTTTTTTTTATTTGGACCCAAGTGGAGTTTTTGTATTTTATTTCTTTCGTAGTTTTGTATTGTTGCTTTTGCTTTTCGTCTACGCTTCGGGCCCTCTTTTACAATTCTGTCATTCTAAGCCTATTCGCACCAGGCAAGTGTCATTGTGAGCTGTTGTCGCTTCGACTGCTTCTTCACGTTCTTGTGTGCGTACGTGTGTGTGCTTGTGCGTGTGTGTGTGTGGCAGAAGCAACAAATGTGGCCAACAATTATCAAAAGCTGCGATACGTGATAAAATGTGACCAGAGTCCAAGTCGAGCCAAGTGCCAATTAGAATTTATTATTATTCATTATTATTTTTTTCTTACTGCTCTTATGCTCTTTCGCTCGCACTTCGTGTGCCTTAATAAGTCGCTGTGCGCGCTCGCACACACTCTCATGCTCTCTCTCTCTATTTCTATCTCTCACTCTCCGGAGTTACAACAACAACAACTGCAAGGAATTTTAACGTGAGCTGCTTCTTCTTGTTGCCTTTTGCTACCTTTTACAAATACAAAGGCGAAAAGTGGGAAGTGAAATGTAATAAAAGCTTAATTAATTGCAGCAAATTAGCGCAAAATGTGGCTAAAACGTGTGGGATAAAAGTACAACAAAAGTAAAACCAAAACCAAAAAAAAAGAAGAAGCAAATCAAACGCAAAAAGCAGATAATAAAAGAAAACCAAAACCAGCAACAAAAACTGCGCGTGCCTCTGGTGTATCTGTATTAGTGCGTGTGCGTGTGTGTTTTGTGTTTGTGTTTGCGTCCGTTTGCAACAGATGCTGCAAGCGTTACGCTCTGTGTGTGTGTTGTTGTTGTGCAAGGACAACAACAACAGCAACAACAACGACAACGACGCCTAAATCGATAAGCATAAAATACGTCATCAACTGTGCGACAAGCAACAACAACAAAAACCATGTTCAAGTGCATTCCAATATTCAAAGGCTGCAACAGGCAGGTGGAATTTGTGGACAAGCGCCACTGTTCCCTGCCACAAGTGCCCGAGGAAATTCTACGCTACTCGCGCACCCTCGAGGAACTCTTTCTGGATGCGAATCACATACGCGATTTGCCAAAGGTTAGTAAAAAAAGTATATATATATATTCCAGATATGTATATACTTTACATATATATATATATATAATTTGTGTACATTTACTTTATATATAATTGTACTTTACTTTATGCGTAAATAAATCAAAGATATTTCTTCTAGTTATTTGGTTCACTGAACTCTACTCAAAAGCTTTTCGATTCTTTTCACTTGGCTGCAACATCCCTTTGCCTCTGGCTTTGCTCTGCAAGCGAAGATGTTTTTCTTTGCTTCTATTTGCAGCTGTTATCCTTGCTGCCGGGGTTGTTGTCCAGCGCAATTTGCATCGCTCCTCTCCTCTTGCACTTATAGGCCAGTTTGTGGCGCAACGTAGAAAAAGACAATGATTACTGTAAAAAAAGACGTCCGCTCGAGTCAGTTGGGGCGGAAGTCTTAAATTAATAACGATGGAGGGGGGCGCAGTGGGGCGAGTATGTTCTTTGCGACGCAAGTGGCATGCACGTATAATTGAATATTCAATTATGCAACAGTCTGATGCTGTTGCATATACACACATACACACACACACGCACACACTTACATATCGTATGTCAATTATGCACATCAAAAGGCAATAGCGGCCGCTATTCTAATTGGGGAGCAAGTGTCGGGTAAATGGAGGACCATAATTTGGTGATCGGCTTGGCAATTAGCAGCGATTAGCAACGATTAATGATTGCTAACAAACAATTGTGAATCATTTTGTAAATAAATTTGCTGTTGGCTTCCGTTTTATGTGCAGCTGAGAAACAAACAAACAAATCAAGCAAACAACAATTGCAACAAGAACAACAAGTAGCTGGAGCTATAAACAGAAACAGAATGCGTTGACATAGCAACAAGTGTTGGGTTGCCAGGGGGTGTGAGGGGCAGTTACTTGATTGCTTGAGTTGTTCATGTATTTACATAGATACAAATTTACATATAGCATGTACACACAGTTGCTGTTCCCCATCCCGTCCACAACCCCTGCCATGCTTTGTGCTTTGACTTGTGCGATTAATTTGCGGTTACTCCAGTTTATTTTCCAGCCATCACAATAGGCGTACTGAGTATGGAATTAAAAGTTTAGTCGATATTCAAATTGTTGATCAAACTGTCACATGTTCAGTGCGAAATAAATAAATATTCGCTTGACAAATGAGAAATCAACTCAACAAGAAAGTTATTAATTCTCGGACTTTTCTTTCCATCGGAATATTGTTTACATATACAAATATATATAAATATTTCATAGCAGTCCGAAATGAATCTAAAAATAGAACAAACATTAAATTATTTACGTAAAAAGCAGTAAAGTCAACTCAAATTGAAAGGGTATTGAAATTTCGACTTATCTTTGATTTTCTTATGATTGCCGCAGCAATTTCCACTCGACTGTAGTTTTCATGTCTTCAAATTGTGCAGTTTCCCCCTTTCTTATTTTTGTAGAGCTTCCTTCGCGGTTAGCCGCACTCGCTAATGAACTTCTAATGCAAATTTTTGTTGCTCGTTTACATCAATAAAGCGCACAACAAGCGTACACAGAAGCAACAGCATTTACTGGAGCAATGGACCCGCTGTTGCTGCAGCAACAACATGTTGCTGACCGATGACAACAACAACACGAACGACAACAACAATGGACACCCATAATAATGATGATGTTCTCTTTTGCCGCAATCGAAGTTCGTTTGTGGATGCCACAGTCACAGCGATTCTGACAGCGTCGGATGTGTTGCTGTTGGTTATTCTTGTTGTTGTTTGCTGTTGACTGTTTGCTGTTGTTGTTGTTGTTGCCTCTTCTGCGAATTTTATAAGCTGTGATCGGCCGTCAACCCTTTAACTCTTTGAGAGCTACAGACAATTTCCGCGTTGTCATAGCAACAATAAACATCAACGACATCAGCGCAAACGTGCCTCAACTCAATTGCTCTTAACTCGACGACAATCTGCCCGAATCACCCCTTGTTTGACAACACTGGCTATTGCTGCGCCCGCGCTGCTAGCACTGTTGCAAATCCAAAAGCCTCAATTATACAAATCGCAATTATGTTGGATTATGGCTTTAGTTTTTTCCAATGACGAACTCAAAGCAAAACAAATCTGTAAATGTTTATAATATTTTAACCTAGTTTTGCTCGTAAACAAGAAATAATTTTGTTAACTGCTATTTGAAATAAACCAAAGTACGCAATATTCTCACAATATTTTCTCAACAGACAAATTAAGCTGTGCATTAACTTAAACATTAAACTAACTGAAATTACAGCTTGAATATGATAAGCTTGCTATCATTGTAATAATAATAATAATCATCTTTTCTCAGCTTTCTCAGCTGAATATTAAGAGAAAAATATTTTTCATTTGATCCCACATCGCATTTTACAAGCATTTACAAGTAAGAAATCTCTAGTCGAGAGAGATCAACTAGGAGATACCCTGAACCCACATGGTATATACATTAAATCGATTGAAGTACAGATTCTAATATCACTTCAATAATTGTGCTGTATATCAAGGTAAATTATATATCAGTTGGTAAAATATATACCTTATGTGGATATGCTTCCTTCTGCCTGATACATACTTTCATTTACCCATTAATGGGTTGAGTGTATATAAATTACATAAATAATATAAGTTCCTTAACAGACTTCATATTTTTCAGTTGAATTTAGACTAAGCTTAACATGGCACATTGCCATTTCTCGAAGGAAATCACCATCCAATGAAGAAACGTACCTAAGGGGGATGTTGAACCAATATTTGATATGTATTCTCTGCTGCTAATTATATTGTATCTATAATATTTCCACTCACATTCCTATCACTAAGCACCACTGTTGTATTCAAATGGCAATTAACTGGTATTTTGCATAATGCAGTCGCTGCTCACAGAACCTACCTCAAGTGAGTGTTGTGGAAATTTCACATATTCTGTTTTTTTTTTTCACTTATGTATGCTATTGGTTTGGGTGCTCGCAGCACTCATTCATTGCTCTGCTGTTTCTTTGCTGCCAATTAGTCACGCCCGCTGATAAGATATCGGGTAATCGCCTCTTATCGCCTGCCTTGAGGTCTGCACTCCAGCTAACACACAGCTCAGGTTGTGTCTTGCCTTGCCTTCCCCATTTGGTGGACTGGCTTGTCTTTCGCAATTCGAACCGTGCCGCTGTTGTTATTGCAGGTGCGTTTCGTTCGAAAACTTAAACGGCTGTCTGGCTATTGGAACCCAATACCGGAGCGTCGGCAATGACATCATTAAGCAGCAGTAGCAGCTATGAAAACAACAACTAAACAGCTTTTAAAATGGCGTCGCTCTTTTATAGTTTGGCTTAGTTTGGTTTTCTATTTTTTTTCGCTAAACCCACAAGTAACTATTATCCCATAAGCTGGGCCAAATGATAGCAGTGGGTCTTGCAAATAGTTTGGCCAAAAATTCAACATTGATTTCTGTACTTGGCTTTTCAATGGGTCACAGTTGGTTAACTAGCGTCGTCGCTCTATAAATACGATGGAGTCGTCGAGTCGAGTTGAGTCGCTCAAAACCGGTTCCCCTATATATATGTATATGTACATATAATTAATGTTCTCGTGCAATTTCAATTAGTTTTTATACCTCGTAATTGAAACTATTGGCGCAACGGGTATAATTAACGATTTAGTAATTCTAAAATTGAATCTATCATATGCAATATAGTCACATTGAAACAAATTTTCAAAAGATTTCTTTTTGCAGGAATTTAAATTTACATTGGAAAGAAAATTGTTCATCAATCAATTGAAGCACTCCAGAATATTATTTCCATTTAGCTTCGATATAGGGCAACTTCTAGTCAGCCCCACAGTGACTGTGTCAGTTTTAACTGATTTATTTGCTGGCCGCTTTAAAACAATAACACATTAGCTGACGTCAAGGAACCGTTTGTGAGTGCCAACAATTGTGCACTCGAAATACACTTGCCAAAAAACTAATTGCATTAAAACGCTGTAGCGGAAGAGATTTATCGATGGTTTGTTTTGTTTTTGTCTAAACTTAGATAACAGGCGAATGAATAACTGTTATGACAATTAAGAGAAATATGCTGTTGAGTGCTTAAATATTTTAACGGTCGCTTGCCATAGATGTGGTCCTGCAACTTGTGGCTGCGACTGCAGCAACAACAATAACAATAGCTGTATCTATGTGCCTGTCGCAAGACAGACAAGACTGCGTCTTGTGTCTTGTGACTGTGTGCGACGCTAGAAAAATGAAGATGTACAGATTTAAGCAGGCGCACAGCTGCCACAAGCAGGCAACGGGTCTAGACCGTTGTTGCGGATGTCACAGCGTGCCATCTACTACCAGCATATAAAAACTTGTGTGAGTGTGTGTGTGTGTGTATGTTCAGCTGCATGTATCTGCATCTGCAAAATGTTGCAACTGCTGCCGGTTTGCGGAACAAGCATGCATATTCACATACACATATATACATATGTGTGTCTCTTCCAAGTGTAGCTCGTCGTTACTGTTGTGGTTGCTGTTGTTGTTGTTGTGTTCTAGCTCAGCTGGTTTTCGCATTTAGTAGATGCGCCCAGCGAGATATGCGAGTATTGTGTCTAGAACCCGTTTTTGGCCGTTGTGTTTAACTGCGTTGTTTTGCCATTTTTGCTGTTCGCCCAGTCATTTGCAACATGCACACCACCATGCATGGTTCTGTGTGTACGCATTTCTTGTGCCTGCGTGTGTGTGTGTGTGTGTGTTGTGTACAGCCAGATACATTTAGCTGATTACACTTGCAGATACATTATGAAATAACTGAAAATCAACGAAGCGCACTGTATCTCTGTGTGTGTTGTGTGTTTATGTTCTCTGTGTGTATTTCCATGCCTGTCATGGTTCGCTCAGCGCTGTAAACACCCACAGTTTTATAGCATTCAAAAGTTATCTCGGCCTTGCATCTCTGCATTTGCATCTGTATCTGTATCTGTGTGCATGGCTATTCAATGTCGCAAAGTGATTTTCGGAAAATGTGCTTTTAACAAAGCTAATTGCCTTGCCTGGTCTTTTTGTTTGGTTTTCCTACCATTTGCCACGAAATTGAATTATGTGGCTTGTGTTTTACCACTTGATGGAGCTTCCATCGCGCAACGTCACAGAAAACTCATGAGCGACGTTCTGCTGCTGTGATGCAACCCATGTAAACTGCCGCAACTTGTTGGCCTGGCCAACAACACACAATGCTCTGCACTGCAGTCAGCTAGTTGTTGTGTGTGTTGTCTGCCAGCTGCTGCTTGCTGAGCGCCTGCTCCAACTAGATACAATAGTAAAAGTGTGCTGGCTACGAGTGAGTGGGCGATAGTGTGTATGTTCCCATGTGTATACTGTGTGTGTGTGTATGCTGTGTGTGTGTGCATGAGAGAGAATGCTTGCACAAAACTGGTGGTACTTGTGCATTGTACGTGGTACGAATGTTGTTGCAATGCCGGCCTGCCGGCCGGTCTCTAATTTATCGTCATGCAAAGAGAGAGAGAGACTCCTCGCATAGATACAACGAGCGACGCCATCGCGTGGGCTCTTGGGACTAGTCTTGGGTGATGGGGGTTGCATGGTGTATTGAGTGGTGTGGGGGAGGGGGTGTGCAGTACTTGGTTAAAAGTTTACAATTCGCATTCGTTTTTATTGTCATCACGTCTTGTCCTCCTTTAGTGCTTTTTGCTTTTATTTCTTTGGTATTTTGCATTGGCGGCCATTGCACCGCTCGGCTGCCTCCTGGCCGCAGGGATTGCATTCTCCGGTCTTTTTCATATGCAATTTGCATGACTGAATTTCGTGTGTGTGTGTGTTTATGTGTGTTTCTTTACTTTCGGTGCTCATACCCTATACACATTGAAAATTGGCAAATGGGGTATAACGAAATCGTGTAAGGTATGAAGCAGGCCGTAGAAGGCATCTATGACTCCATAAGGTATTCTTGATCATGACTAACGACGAAAGCTGTCTGTCTTTACGTCTTTATGAATAAACGACTCTCAGAGACTAAAGGATTTGGAATATAAGTTCTCATATAGCACGCGCATGTCAAGTTTATTTCATTTTTCGATAACTCTACCTGTTTCGCTGGTATCGATGCATATCTATTTTCGATAGTTGATGTATTATGCACCTTGATATTAGATTGGATTATGATTGGATAAGAAACAAACGATAGTGAAACTATTGCTATCGGCAAGCGCAACCATTTTGTGTATATACAAATATCGGATGTGTTCAGGGTATCTGCAAGTCGAACGCTCTGGACTAGAGTATTCTTGGTTGAATTTGTTTTTGCTCGTTTCTTTTTGTCTTGCTGCATATTTCGCTCGTCGTTGGCTTTTGTCCCTGACAGTTACAACTCTCTGACGCATGATTTGTTGAAAGGCCTTTCGTTTTTTATAAATAGCAAAACTGAATCTGGGACATTGTAGGTGCTCGCTCGGAAGTAGAAAAACAAAAAAGTCGAAGAAAGCCATAAACATAAAGCGCACAAATGTGTACTACCATAAAGGGGAGCTTAAGTACTTTGCTTTTCAACGAAACTGACCAGTGAAAAAAGTGAAAAAGTGAAAAAATCGTTCTTCTTTCCTTTCTTTTGTGTGTTGGAGTCAATTTGTAAAAACGCAAGCTTCATAAAGAGAAAAGTCAACCAGTTAAGCGAATATACGAAAGATATGAATAGAGCGAGTAGTGCAAAAGCAAATATATTTCGTCCAGCGCACCATTTGTATTCATTCTCCATGAATAAATTATTCATTAAATTATTTGCATTAATCAGCTTTACAAATGACAAATTTTGCGTTGTATCATTTACACATCTTAGCATTTTAATACTCAATTTTTAAATTGAAAATTTTTGCAATAAGCAGATGTCTTTTCGAGCCGAATTATGTTGGGTTTAAAACGTCTAACTTCAAGCACTTTGAAACCTTGAAACCTTTATCAAACATTCTTTATATCTACAAATTGGTATTTTGACCACTTTTCAAACAATTCGATTCTGATTTACAAGTATGTACACAGTGCTTGAGCTGGGTGCTTTTGGTTTTGTATACCTCTGTCTGATGTATCTGGGTCATCAACTTTATCGAGTCACTGCCCCAGCGGCAGTCGCAGAAAACTTCTCACTTCCACAGTCATTTAAGACAAGCGAACAAAATTTAATAATGTTTACGACTACAACTACGAATTATTTTCTTTATTATCAATATGGTCGAGACTACTGCTGTTTTGTGTATGGGTGTGTGTGTGTGCTGACGTGTGTGTGGTATGCTTTTTGGGGGCAGAAGTAAGAGGAGTGACCCAACAACGGCCGATAAAAATCGCTGGCACAATGAAAGCAGCGACGCTGACGATGCCGCCCGGTGCGGCTGTTAACCTTGAGGTCTATGACTCAGTGAGTCAGCCACTAGGGGGCGCTGCTTTCTTTTCAAAGTGCCAAAAGATGAGTGAGTGTTTGAGAGTGAGTGTGAGTGTGAGTGCTCCACATTGCAGGAAGGTCAGCCCCAAATGCCTGTCGCTGTGTGATCGGTCGCGACCCTTCACTTTGGAAAGTACGAGGAGCGCCAAAATAATTTATTGTAAATCGAACGTCAAATTGATGGGCCTAGCTGGAAAAATCGTGATGCTCATAAATGAATTGTTGGCGACATGTCTGATGAAAAACCAAAAAATAAAAATAAATAGCAAGAAAACGACTTTAACGCTCGGGTTTGGGTTGCCTGGACCGAACGGGTCACGGCGTTGTACAAATGACAAACTCTGTTGAAATTTATGACCACGAAAACGAACTCGAAGATGAACAGAGACACGTCCTAACGATTGTGTCTTTTGTTTACTAGCGAGACTAGAGAAAGGCTTTCTTCTTGTGCATTGTTTGTCGTCGTGCCGCAGACTAATCCAAGCTATTTTCTTTTTCTTTTCCCTCCGCTTGCAGAATTTCTTCAGATTGCATCGCCTGAGAAAACTGGGCCTGAGTGACAATGAAATTGGACGCCTGCCGCCGGACATACAAAACTTTGAAAATCTCGTGGAGCTCGATGTTTCACGTAACGGTAAGTGGAGCACACAAGGCATGCAACAAGTGCCCGATAATTATTATTGACATTGATGGGTTGCTGTGAGAGCGCCAGGAGGATGCGCAATCTCTCTTCACTCTCTCTCTCAGGCACGAGCCTGTCCATCTAATTGAGCGACAGACAGCTTCGGGATGCTGTTATACAAATTGAGTCTCTTAATGCCCTGACATAAAACAATTGCACATCAAGTCTAATTGTATCAGCGAAGCGGTGGCTTGTGGGCAAAAGTGAATCAGCTTCACCATTTGTGGTGGGGCTTTCTCCCATTGTTATAGAGCAAAACCGCAATGAGTCTCGGTAACCCATTCAAACGTTGACCCAAAATATACTTTCAATTTTTCATATTGCAATTTTTTGACAGATATTCTATGCGGCGATTCAAACGTTTCCTCTTTATAACAACTGCCCAACCAACTGAATGAGCAACACATTTGTTTTCTGTAGAAAAAAGCTTAGTTTTATGTTCGCGCAATTCTTCAATGCAATATTGCACGCACAAGCATCCAGTTAGCAAGCCAGCCAGCCAACCAGACACTCAGCTAGTTGAAAACCGGTGTCAGAGTCGGAGTCGTATGCCCGTACTTATTTATTTTCTGCTTAGGCAAGCACAAATCCGTAAACACTAATCAGTAATTGGAGTCAAGTGCAGTGCGCAGAGAATCGCTGTATTAAAAATACAACAAATGTACACATATGTATCTGTGTATGTGGGGCTATAAAAGCAGGTGTTGCTATAGCAAATACCCTGTGGCTGAACTTAATGTTCCACACATATGTCAATCATTAAGAAACTAGCGCATGTATTATATAGAATAATGTAATTTAGTTCGGGTCTCAATATGTGTTATACATTTAAATTAACTTCCTAGCTCAACTCAACTTTACTCGGTTTAGTATTACTTATCATAAAAGCAATTGTTGTTCTAGCAATTACTCCGAGCTGAATTTAATGATCAATCATTTAAGATCTAGCACATATATTATACAGAAATAAGTATTTTCAATCAGTTAACAATATGTTTTAACATTTTTGTAAATTAGCTCTTAGCGTAACTCAAATTTACATTTCATACAGGGTGTGAACCAAAAATAAAACATGTTTTCATTAAGTGACTTAATTCATTCATGCAATGCATGCAGTCAAGGCCGGAACATGGTATTTAAAATGGAATTGCTTAATGGGCTGTTAACTAACTAAATAAATAACTTAGCAAATGTTATCTATTATGTAACAGTTGGTCCACAAACGAATTTACAAGCAAACTATCGATATGGAAGCAAAATTGCCTTAGAATGCTTTGTTTTTTTGGGATGGTCATTTGAACTTAATGTGAAGCCCTGATCTTGAGCTGACGCCTTTAATAGCCCAGTCCGCTACTGCACTTTGACTGCAAAGAGTGGATACATTTTTGATGACGTTATCGTTGTTGTTCTTATTGGTGTTGGTGTTCTGACAACTTAATGTGGCTTCCTATTTCCGTTTTTGTTTCAGACCCAAAAATACGTAAGCTAAGCAAAAGTATTGCATTACCAGTTCGCCAAGTTGATTGCACCCATTACTCGAAATGGCCTGCATTGCAGTGTTGCTGAGCCAGCAGTTCTTGGCTGTGGCTTGTCGCTTATGCATATGACCCACAAACGATCTGCAAACACACCCAAAGCAAAATAAGTGAACGGGTCTTTAAAGCTCGCCAATCGTCGCCTTGTGCTGGAAATCTGAGCTGATGCGGGTCTGGGTGAAAGGCCGGCTCAAGCTAGAGATGTCCGTAATGGTGATTTTTCACTCGACGTGATCGTAGATATCTAACTTTTGAGATTGTGTTTACAATCATTGTGTGCGCTCAATTTGTTCAGTCAGTCAGTCTGCCAGTCTGTCATTATTTGTTCCTTTTTTTGTATGGGCGGCAGCGGGAAAAGCCTTTCACATTCAATTACCATTGCTGCAATTCAGTTATTATTATTGGCAAGCCGATGTCGCCTGATGGTTTTGAACTCGAACTGGTAATAGTAAAACCTGCAATTGGCAGGTGCAAACACACCTTATATACACACACAGACACTCATACAGACGCGTTCATATTTATATTATAAGGCATTTTAATACGTTCAAATTGGCCGCATCGAAAATAAATATTTCAATACCCAACTGTGGCGCATTCTGTGAAAACGAGTGTGCGGCGCTTGTATTAGTTCTGTAGCCACAACAATGGCAGTGGCAGAAGCAACAGCAACAGCGGTTGTGCAATTGCAGTGAACAACACAACAAACACAGCGAAACGGCGAGCTGCCAAGCGCAGTACGCAAAAGTATTGTATATATACATAATTATATATATACATATATATATGTATTAGTACATTACGTATACTCCCGCTTGCACTTGACAAAAGAATTGGAATTGCCAACAATAACGACAACATGCATAGCATTTGTATGTGATCCGCACAGTGGGTGAATAAACTCTTAAAGCACACAAATATATTGTACAGATCCTAGATGAAAGCAAAACTTGCATTATTTGAACAAGATTTCGTACATTAACAGTCATTATATTCTTCTTACTTACTTTTATTTGTATTTGCGAAATGAATAATAAAACAATTTATAAAAATATTTGACTGGCGATCTTTCCTGCAAACAATATAATAAATAAGATACAAACTTTAAAATTAAAGAATAAAAAAACATGCATTAAAATATAGAAAATAATTATTATTGTATTTTGGAGGACCGCTTACCTTCCAACGAATGTTGAAAGTAGAGAATGCTGTCGCTTATGGGAAATGTACAGGCAAGCAATTTAGATTCTGAAGACATTCGAGATTGTAAGAAATGTTAATAGTAGATTAAGGCTATAAGATACAAATTGACCACAATCTGGACAATATCGATTTTTCTTATCCCAAAAATTTCCACTGTGCAGCGCATTGGCTACACTAACATTGCTAACGAATACATTAATTTGGATAGCTGTGTGCTGTGTGTGTGTGTGTGTCGTTGGGTGTGTGTGCGTGTGTATGCGGGTGTTTGCAATTATGCAGGTGTTATGGACGCTGCCATCGTTGTCGTTAGCAGCCATGAGTTTTTTTTTTAAGTGTACGTAAATCATTATGACAAGTTGACCTGCTTGCGAAACGTTCGCTGGGGGGCGCTGCAGCACTCATTTCATTTGTTTGCTCTATTTGATGCAGTTCAGTTTTCTCAGTACCGCTAATTGTTTGTTTATTTAAGCGTTGTATTTTCTATTACTTAAATTTCGCAAATTTGTTTTCGCTGCAGCTTGCAAATTGTCTGAAACAGATTTGTGGCCTGTTTATTAATACATAATACATAAAACATTTGGAAAGAAATGTATATGCAGAAGACAAGCGCATAACAGAGCTGCTGTCAAAGCAACTGTCGGTTGATAAGCTCAGTTTGTTTGTCTTGTTAGACAGCAAGTAAACAAGACGCCAGTGAATATGACCAGAGTGAATCTGTGTATATTGAGAATATACGGAAACACACAAAAATACAAGTAGCAAGAAACAAAAATATAAGCTTAAGACGACTGTGGGAATACTGTGTTGTTAAATTCCATCAGCTATTTCTGAGCCATGGGAACAACTTCAGAAACCGATTTCAGTTTGACAACAACAACAACAAAATCAACAATAAGAAGAAAATGCATCTTCTAACAAAAAGCCCAATTAAATGGCATTTGAAAGTCATGCAACGATATCCTCGACGATGTTGCACGAAAAGCCAAGCAACGGAATCTATGTCATCTTTTCTTCTGTGCTGTTGCAATTGAGGCGTCAACTGGGTCAAAGTTAAGCTCTGCGCCTAGTGCAACCAAAGTTGCCAACAACGACGACTCATTCAAGTGGCTTTTGCCCAGATTCTTATTTTGTTGTTCATTTTCGCTGACAGTAGACACAACTGTTGTTAAAGACGGTGCTGTTGCTCGGATCTGGGGGCAAAGAACAGCCACTAAGCTGCCGAAGGCCCTCGACAAAAGATCAAAAGAAGAGAGCTTTAATGAAGTATAATGCAAAAATCAGGGTTAAGTTGTGGCTACCCCATATTATTATTGGCCATGACTTGAGCATTGTGAAATGCTCTCGCATACAATTCGCTCTAGTCCAGGTATTATTCCGACGAAGTCTGAAATAAGACATACAAACACATGGTGTGTGTGAGAAGCAATGATTGTTTAATTAACGGGATTAAACAAAAACTATATCAAAAACTCACAAAACTGAAAAATCATTGCTTCTCACATTGTACTTAACCATAATAAATATGTGCATACATATTTCAAACTTCTGCTCGCAATTGACGTCACTGGGCAGCGCAATTAAAAACTAATCGACATACGAATAATATTACTGTGTGCGGGAAACAAATCAAAAATCAAGTACGACATGAAATTGCCTAGAAGCAAAGCAACACGTTGCGAAAATGGCAAAAATGTGTCGGAAAAATAAATATGCCTCCCTGCAATACCAACTAACTTTAGATAAGTGCAAAAGGCGACTTATTGAATACCCTCTTAGTTTATATATACTCAGCATAGCGAATTAAAATGTGACACTTAATTATTGTGTTTCTTAATTAAGTATATTATTTAATAATAAAATAATTAGAGTATATATTTATATTAACTGACTCGACTAGTCGCAAATGACCTCTCTAGAATTTAGTTGCGCCAAAATGGGGCCTCAATATACCCTGCAAATCACACGAAAAAAATGATTGGAAAAACTGTTGCGGTTGGTGATGGGTGAGAATGAAAGGGGGTTCGCGAAAATTAAGTGAGTTGCGGCCTGTCTTGAGTTCACTAAGCCAACGCCAGATGGCGCAGGTGTGCTGCACGAGTTTTTCGAGCTTTTTTTAATTGAAAAACATTTTAATTGATTGACAGCCGCGCAAGCCAAAGTACATTTATGTGTCAAAAAATATATCTTGACAAATGTGGTTGTTCATACTACTGAACTTCTATCGAAACAATAATAAGATCTTAAGCTGTTATTGTCTTACGAGCGTAATAAAAATAATACAAATGAAATTTGTAGCGGAATGTGTGAATACTTTGTGTGGCGTTTTGAAATTGCTACGTGTACAATAAGCGTATAACGTTGCTTTAGGCGTTTTTCTGCGCCAAATGGTAGTGAATATCTTGTTCAACTAGAATACGTGTCGCAAACGAATGCCAAGTTCAATTTAGATTTGCTTGTGACTCAATTCTAGATAATTTTATTAGTTTGTGTTTCAGTTTCTATGATTGCATGACACAACCCCCTTTTGCTCTTCGTTGACGTAGTTAAACATAATTTTCTGTACTGAAAATGTCAGCAAAAGGATAAGAAACATCTTTTGCATTATTAATAGACAATTATCAGGTTAGCTCCACATGGCTTACAAGCAATCCAAACGAAAGAAGTATAATATTAGATAAGCCTATGTTGTTATGTAAATTGTTTGTTTAACGAAATAATTTTCCTTTCCCATTACAAAGAGTGTCTGAACTTTGTGTTGAGAAACTTTTTACTTCATCTTGTTAAACATTTTAATTACGTTTAATTGCACCTGTTGCACGTCGTTGATGGCGTTGCCTGTCGCATCTTAGCATTGTAGTCGACAATTAAAGGCCATTTATTAAGCGCACTCCCTGCACGACTTAGCCCGACTTAAAGTTGGCTAAGTGCAGTCAGCCAGTCCCAGTCCCAGTTGCTGCTGCTGTGTTTGTTATGAGCCGGGCCATAAACCTTCCAGAGGCGACGGAAAGCTATTTCTATTTGCTCGCTGCCGTTTAGGGATTTGCTGGCACTGGATGTGAATGCGACTGCAGCTGCGAATGTGGCAGCGGATGGTAATGTGGATGTGGTTTTGAATGTGGATGTGAATGTGGATGCAGATGATGAGTTTTTCAACAAAACTAGACGGTAAATTGTGTACGGAGCAAAATGAATACGACTTCATGCCATTCATTCACTAAAGTAAATGACAACGTGCCATAAAAGTCGTCATAGATGCTGAGTGCTGCCTGAGCATAGATTAGTACAACTTAAAATGACTGACGGTGAAAATTGAATAGCCTGACGAAGGTTTTCATCATCTCGCAGCAGAGCTCGACATCATCTTCATTAAGTGCAATATGTGCAAGTCATATTGAAAATTGTGACCTCGATATGTAGGCCTGACTGCCTGCCTGCCTGTCCTGTATTTTCTTTGCCTTGATAGCTGACAAATCATTTCATTTTTCATTGATATGACTAGCGGCAAAAAAAACAACAACAACAAGAACAAAAAGAACAACACCAACAAACAACAATGATGAGCACTACGACGACAATATGCTCTTAAAATATTTGCTCGTTCAATGACATTGAAAAGAATTTTCATTTATGTGTGTAAGGTGTGTTTATGCTTGTGTGTGTTTTTATGAGTGTGTGTGTGTATGTGTCTTTGCTTTTCATTCACATTGTTGACGTCGTCGTCACTGACGTTTCGCCTGGCCGAATTTTGGCAGCGCCCAACAGCCTATTCGATCTTTTGTCTCATTCCCATCCCAGTTCAACGAAATGTATGTGCTTTATAAATTCATGGGCTTGCCAGCTTGTTCCTGGTTCGTGTTTTGCTATTTTAAGCAACGCTTCCTCTACATATCAAAATGATAAAATATTTAATATTTTTGGCTCGGCCCAGTAGTCATTTATATGTATGTATGTAAGTTGTTGGCATCATTGTCATTGCATAATTGCACGAAATTGATTACAATTTGGGCTGCTAACTGTGCAGGGTCGATCCAAGCATTTCCCCTCATTTCCGTTGCCACTCAATGAGTTTCCAAATGCTCGACCTTATCCGCAACATCTCTCTCTCTCTGCCTCACCCGACTCTCGTCTGGCTCTGCAGCGGAAAAGGTCAATGTATTGTGTGACGCTGCTGCTGCTGCTGCTGTTGCTGCTGGGCGACTGTCGCCCATCTAATTACCGCCAACTGTGAAGCACTGTTGAGCAATTTGGCTGCCGTCTTGCAGCCGAAATATTAAACGAGAACATACACTCGAATAACTAGAGCATCCCAGGCCACATATTGGTAGTGGAGGGGGCTCCATATGCTGTCAATTGGTAGAGTGTGTTTAAATGTTTATACAAATGTTGGTGTGTGTGTGTATTTATGCTTCTCTGTTTATAGGAAGCATCTAGCTGTGTCCATTTGTCTGCGGCTGTTGGGATTGGTTTGAGTGTTTTGTTTGGTGTGTGTTTGTGTGTGTGTGGGTCTATTGTTTGTTGCCCTCTTGTTGATGGATCGACTTTTGTTTGATGCTGTTCGCGTCTTCGATTGGTCTTGATTGTTTGGTGCTAGCTGCCACTAGCTGTTGCCATGCAGCAGCTATCGTCAAATCAATATATATAATATATACATATATATATCCACTCAAAGACCACAAACAAAATGTTTTGGCATCAAAAAGTTACATTTGGCAAATGATACTGGCAAACAAATGTTCCACTGAATTATAGTTCTTATAAAAAGAATGTAATTGCTTTCATTCATTTCGGCAGATGTTTGTTACATGAAATTTGCGCAAATTATTAATAGGTTCAGGGCATCATGACGATTATCTCTTAATTAAAGCACATTTTTTAATTATTCACACTAGCGAGGCCATTTTGTCAGCATTTGATATGTGAATTTAATTTAGTCATAAGAGCTGCCTTTATTATCTACAGCTAACAGTTGAGTACGACCTCAGCTAACGAATACCCTATAAAATACTCTTATAGAGTGCATAGAGTACGTCCCAAAATTTTGAAGTTAAAACCAATTTGGGTTTTTTTTTTTTTGATTTGAAAACAAAACATTTTCAACTTTCATACCGAATAATGATTGATTGATTGATGATGATGATAAATTGACGTAATCATTTTAGCTCATAACAGAAATCTTCTGAACTGTGTGATTAAATTGGGTGCTTTTGCTTTCCGGTCACAACATCTTCCCCCATTTTACAGGGTATTTAGTGCCACAAACAACCGGCCATTATTTATTTCACATGCTAAATTAACAAAATTGTCACACAATAAGCTTAAATGGTATGGTATGTTTATATGTATATATAAATTTTTAATTAAATTCACTATGAACGTGTTCAGTCGGAAAGAGAGTTATCTGCAGCATTCCACAAATGGATTCAGTAAGCACTTGGCAGCCACACTTAATGCAATTCAGACTTGCACGAATTTGTGTATGTTTGTGTTTTTGTGTGTGTGCGGATTGTGTATGTTCGACTCCGTCACTGTTCACTTCCGCTGCTAGTGCCAGTCAATGTGGCAAGTTCACAACAATGTCCATTGTTTGCTGCACTGCAACTCGAACATGTCCTGCTCGACAGTGCTCTGTCGCCATTATGTGCTGTGGCGTTGAAGTTGTCGCCCAGCAAGTCCCACGTGTCGTATTAGTTACATCAAGTTATTATCCCTCGTCTGGAGCATGTATATGTATGTGTACATATGTGTCTATGTATGTGTGCATATCTATTGTGTGTGTGTGTGTGTGTTGTAACTAGGTCACTTTAGGCGTCGCGTTGTGTTGCTTATAGCTGGAAAGGATTGCGCGCCCACCTGCCAGTTTCCACTGTGTTGACCTTTTGTGTGGGGCTTTGTGGGTGTGCTTTCGCATACATAAACAACCACATGAGCGAGCACGGGCATTGTGCCCACACATACACGAACACACGCCCACACACACACACACACGCGCACACACACACACACACGCGCACACACACACACACGCGCATACTTGCCATTTGTGTGTGTTACATGCCTTTGTCGATGAGAACTCCAGCTTTTGCGAGCACATTTCCGCTTTGGCTGTTGAAAATTTATTCGATCAACAAGTTTCGTTCGTTTTGTCATTTTACGCTTCGACTCGCTCTATCAAGCTGGGGTGGCAATAATAACAATACGTGCCCCCATTGAGTGTGAGAAAGAGCCGAATATATTTCATGAATTTCTTAACCTTTAGTTAAATTATAGTTTGGGTTAATGTATATTCATCATATTGATTGCAATTGTAGAGAAATTTATTAAATTAAATTATTTATTTTTTTAAGTACTTATTTTCTCTACAAAATTTTTTGCGCAGTATGCGTTGAGCTCATATCATATTTATAGCTGATTTATAAATAATTAGATAAGATATTAGGGATGTCCTCTTAGCGCAATTCATGCGTAAGCAATATGGCCAAAGCGCACAGCACAAAGAAGCTCGATAATCGATGAGTAAACAATAGCAACAACAACCACAACAAGTGTTAATGCATTATGTTAATAATATGTGTATTGCTTTGTTACAGATATACCCGACATTCCCGATGACATTAAACACCTGCAGAGCCTGCAGGTGGCCGACTTTAGCTCGAACCCGATACCGAAACTGCCATCGGGTTTCTCACAGCTGAAGAATTTGACAGTGCTGGGGCTGAATGATATGTCGCTCACCTCATTGCCCGCCGATTTTGGTAGTTTGACGCAACTCGAATCGCTGGAGCTGCGCGAGAATCTGCTCAAGCATCTGCCCGAAACGATAAGTCAGCTCACAAAGCTGAAGCGCCTGGATCTAGGCGATAACGAAATCGAGGACTTACCCCCATATCTGGGCTACTTGCCGGGCCTCCATGAACTGTGGCTGGATCATAATCAGCTGCAGCGTTTACCGCCAGAGCTGGGACTCTTGACCAAACTGACGTATCTGGATGTCTCGGAGAATCGACTGGAGGAGCTGCCCAATGAGATGGGCGGCCTGGTTAGCCTCACCGATCTGGATCTGGCACAGAATCTGCTCGAGACACTGCCCGATGGCATTGCCAAACTGAGCCGTCTGACCATACTGAAATTGGACCAGAATCGCTTGCAGCGCCTAAACGATACGCTCGGCAAGTAAGTACAGGAGTCAATGGGTTTTAGACTTTAATAAGCAATTTTAAAATCGTTTTGCAGCTGCGATAACATGCAGGAGCTGATATTGACGGAGAATTTCCTGTCTGAGCTGCCCGCCTCGATTGGCCGCATGACCAAGCTGAGCAATCTGAATGTAGATCGCAATGCCCTGGAGTATTTGCCACTGGAAATAGGCCAGTGCAGCAATCTGGGTGTGTTGAGTCTGCGCGATAACAAGCTCAAGAAGCTGCCGCCCGAGCTGGGCAATTGCACGGTGTTGCATGTCCTCGATGTGAGCGGCAATCAATTGCTCTATTTGCCCTACTCGCTGGTCAATCTCCAGCTGAAGGCGGTCTGGCTGTCAGAAAATCAATCGCAGCCATTGCTTACCTTCCAGCCGGACATGGATGCCGAGACGGGCGAACAGGTGCTCTCCTGCTACCTGTTGCCCCAGCAGGAGTACCAGCCTATAACACCAGGTAAGTTGTCCCTTCTCACTGCCTAATGGCAACCGATAACTGGTAACTGGTGACTGGTGACTGGTGCTTGAGGTCGTGAGTTGGCTGCTTGGCTGTTTGTTCATTGTGTTCTGTTCCTGGCCAAAACGCAAACTTAGTCAAAAGTAAACAATCAACATTGGCCAATAAATAAGAGGGGGCGCTTATCTGGCATACATTCCGTCGAGTATGACCGTATCATGGTACAATATCTGCAATCTATGCTCGCGATAAGATAAGACGCCCCAGCACTTGTTGGACTGCCACCAACAGCAGTGAGCAAGCGAGCAACCAACTCTGGATATCCAGTGGCATTGTGCTTTTTCCAAGTTCCAAAATCTTATCAATTAATTTCTTGTGTTCTGTCACTAAAATTTAAAACGCTATTTGGCTTTAAAAAAAACTTGATTGAAGCACCAAACACTTTTTTTTTTGTACATAAATCAATTTTAAACAATCTTTGTGTACGTTGCTTATACATTTTGTTCTTTTTCGCATTGACACCGTGTGCTGTTTCTTAAACATAATGCACTTCTTCACTCGCATTTCTTAAAACACCCCAACCAAAATAAAAAAATAAAACTTCAAAACAAAAAGATTATCCACCCCAGGCGCTTTATAGATCGAGCGAAAAGTTCGATTCGATGGATTTCTTCGGTTATCAACAGAAAGGTTTGCGTTTTCTGTTAATTATGCAATAACAAACGCTAAAAAATATAAAATTATATATATTTAGTTGCTATTTAACAATATGTATTTAGCAGAGTTGTGTTCCTCTTATGTTGAACTTTTTAAAAGCAACTGTATTTGTTACAAGTTTTCTTTTTTTGCATTAAATAAGATTTTTCGTCTGTTAAAATTGTTATTAACTTTAAAATAAAAGTAGCAGTTCAAATTTTAGATTCTTATTTTGATACCCATACACATACAAAATATCGATACTAAATTAAAAGCTTTCAAACTTATGACGATTATAGGAACCCGTTTGTATATCGAACACAACTTTAGTAAATAGAATGCTTCCTAAAGCGCATATTATAGTCATCATATTCATAGGCTTGTGCATGCCCATACCTTATGCCTGAAACCTTGAGAAGTTGTTTATCTTAGCTGTGAGAACACATCTTGCTAAGACATCTTACTGGAGAACGAGCCAAGACCAAGACCAAGACTTTGATCATTGTTTTGTTTTTGTGTTTCTTCGTCGCTTTATTTCTTATTATTAATTTTTTTTTTGTTTTCCTCAAAATATCTGTTTGCCTAAGGAAAACCGGTTTTGTAGCCATAAAATGACGTCATATAAATCAGATAACAACAAGTTGTGTGTGGAAGTGGGTCCGGGCGTTGTCTACTTGGAAACTTGGAGCTACACCAGATTGTTGTTGGTGGTGTTCAGAGTACACACCCAATAATACACACTCATAACAGAACACTCTGGCTGGCCGTGTGTGTGTGTGTGTGTGCGTGTGTTTGATTTGCTGTTTGATTTGATAATGCTATTATTTGCTGTTTATATTCCATTCATTGGACAGCCGGCATGGAAAATATTTGCCTTGTGCGTGTTTCACATCACAAATCCCAACGCATCGCATCTCATCGCTCATCACTTGAAGCATGGGACTGGGAATGTTGGGTGGCTGGTTAATGCTATTGCTACTGATTCCCATCTGATACACATTCTGTGATTGAACAGCGTTGCCTGTCAGTGGCAGCAAGCCACAGATCAAAGCGTCTTCCTCATAGCCCAGGCGCTTTCTTTGTTTCGATACTCGGCGTCTTCGTCATCCGATTTGGGTGGGTTCTCGAAGTGATGTCAACACTCATGACGTCATTTTTGGGCGAATGTAGAGCAAGATCGACGGCCAGTCCTATTCTATATAGACGAGTAATTGTATGTATATCGCTGCTGCTTAACAATATTAATCGTCTTCCAATCACTCGCACGACTTTTGACGTTGTGTACGCCACCAAAAACCGTACATTGATTAATGGCCTGTCAGACAGCTTGGCGAATGGAACAGTAAAGCCTGGGCTGTGACGAACGCCATTAATAACTCAAATTCTATGGGGAACTCAGATATATTTAAAATCACTGCCTTTTACAAATATACATATATTTTGTTAACTGATAACTGACGAATTAAACAATTGAGTAATCGACTATTAAATACATGAGCGCTAGTAGCTAAAGGAATTATATTTAATACATTGGCTGTCTCCTCAAAGCAGGCTTCACTGTAGTATTCACTGTTAACTGGTATTATTCAACTTGCTGTTTATTGTGGTTTCTGTTTCTGTTTTTTATTTCTCGTTTTAGTTATCCACTCGTTAGTTTGACATTCAATAGTAATATTTTGTAACTGTTTTCGATCGAAAACAAGTTTTGAAGCATACGCAAATAGCTGCTAAAAATACATTGATAATATCATCAGTTCTTGTGTCGCTCTTGAGCATGTTGAATTGAATGATTTACGTGAGTGCATTAAGCATATTTTCAGCAATTAACACATTTGCGTGAAAATGCTCAAGACCATACAAGTCGGATGCTCAATTGAATGTCCATATGTGGGTTAAGCTTTTGCCTCTATGTATATATATATATATATGTATGTTTGTGTGTATGTGTTTGTGGTGCAAGTGGTGTTTGCCACAGCCAGCCTCACTTAAACTATCGTCGTGGAAATTATCCAATTAAAGCTGCGGCTGTTACGGTCAAGACAGACACGCAGCCATAAAAAGCAGCGAATGGGAGACAATTTGGGCACCCCTCTGTCTTATTATTGTTATTATTACAACTAGATTGGGTTATTTACATAAATCTTCATGATGAGCGTTGCCGAATTTACAATGACAACAACAAGAACAGCAATAACAACAAGAAACAGAGACACTTCCCGCTGGGCGTTGCTCATATGTGTAAATTTCTTGCTGTTTCTGTTTTTGTACGTAAAAATTGTAAGTTACGAGCTGGCATTGGATGCAGTCATTTAAGCCAGGGCTTCCAAGACCAAACAAGCAACTACTTCCGTAATAAACAACGATTTGAATATGTTTATTGGTGTGAAAAGCACCTTCCAAGCCCCCACCTCCTACTCGCAACCACCCCCCCGTGAGGTTGCTGCCTATCTTGTATATTTCTGAGTTGCCCACATGTTGCAATTTTAAAATTGTTTACGCTGAATAGAAATTTATGGCGTACAAGCACTCATAAGTGCCTGATGGATTGTAGAGTGCCTGTGTGCCAATGTTTATGCGAAGGCCTCCAACGAAAATAAAAATCAAAATAATAATAAGTATATAAATAGTAGTTGTGCTTATTGTTTTAGTTGCTTTCGTTTTGCTTTTGTTATTTTTGCAATTGATGTATTTATTGATTTTACATAGCCGCCGACAGCCACAGCCACACGCCGTTAAGCGGACCGAGTGTAAACATCTATTATAAACCAAACCGACAGCTTCGACTAACTGTTTAAATGCATGCGCATGCCGTTTGTTGCTAATCTTTTAATTAGTTAGTTCAACATCAATTAAACCAAAATACCTCATGAACAATTTTTTAATTTTTGCCAAACCACAGCACGCGATTTGGAATCAGACTCTGAGCCGTATGAAGAGCGCGAACCTTCACGCACCATTGTCAAGTTCTCCGAGGAGGTCAGCCAGGAGAAGGATACGCCATTTGTGCGTCAGAATACGCCGCATCCCAAGGATCTGAAGGCCAAGGCACAGAAGCTCAAAGTGGAGCGCAGTCGACATGAGGAGAATGCCAATTTGGTGGCACTGCCAGAGGAGGTAAATGATACACAAAGATCAACTGAACGGGTTCAATGTTCAGGTTTATGTGCCCTTAATTGTTTTTAAACAAAGTACACCCGATTTGGGATAAGAGGGTCAGGTCTTGAATTCATTAAATGAACCCGCGACCTCTGCTTAATCAAACATATTTTATTGGCATTATATTATTTAATGCATTTGTATGGTTATGTTTATATTCAACAATTTTTTATTCTATGATCTTATAATTATCGTTCACTTTTGCTACATACATAATTATATTCAAATATTATTCGCTTTATTTTTCACTTTTAATGATTTAATAAGTCAATGATGATTAAGTTAAACAAATTGTAGTTTTATTTAATCGTTGAACAAAATATTATTTTTCTTAATTTACTTGAATAAGTAGCTATTTTAAGTTTAACAATAATTTTAAGTTTATAATTTTATCCAAATTTATAAAAAAAGCAACATTAAAACTTGCCAATATATATGTATATATTTTTGTTACTTTGATTTATCATTATGCTTTAATCTTAATGCAATTTAGATTATTATTTTGTTTGATCTACAATTATATTTGGCTAAAAACTGAAGTATTATATGCATAAGTAAACATATCTTACATTTATATTTAATTTTCTTTTTGTTTTTGATTTTCGAATCCTATTAAATCTTTACACAATTTACATTTTACCTGCACTTTCCTTAAAACTTTATTTATTTATTTTGAACAGAATGGTACAAAATCAGCGGTGGGAGAAATCCCCACTGAGACACGCACCGTGGCGAATAATCACCAACAGATAGTCGTGACTGCTACCAATCACACAACAACTGCACAGCCAGCACACAAACCCGCAGCGGTGGTGAATTCCAAGCCTGTCACAGTGGGTGCTGTTACACCAACAGCAACTGTCGTAGTTGCAGCAGCGCCACAAACCGCACAGGGTGATTCTGTGCCAGCCACGACCAAAACCAACAGTGGCAGCAGCAGCGAGAACCCAACAGCAACAGTTGCTGAGGTTACAATTGCTGACGAACAGGAAGACGAATATGTAAGTAAATACATAATTACTATATGAATATCGATTAACGTTATTGACTGCTTTCACAGGAGACCGATCGTCGCGTGGGCTTTCAGGTGGAGGGCGTAGACGATGATTTTTATAAAAGGCCACCCAAGCTGCATAGACGGTAAGATTGGATAAATAATGATTGGCAAATAGTGTGGCTAAGTAATTTGGGTTTCCCTATGCAGTGATACACCTCATCATTTGAAGAACAAACGTGTACAGCATTTGACCGATAAGCAGGCCAACGAAATATTGGCAAATGCGTTGGCCTCGCAGGAAAGCAATTCACCAACGCCGCAGCATTCGTTGAACAAAGTGCAGTCCCCCATTGAGGAGGATGCCGATGAGGAGCAACTCGAACAGCAGGAGCAACAACCACAGCAACAACAGCCACTGCAACCATTCGATGCTTCGCTCTCTCCAATACCAGCTATTACGGCTGAAACGGCTGTTGCCCCATCAGGTAAGTTATCGTGAACAACTCTTCAAACTTACAACTATTTAAGGGGCTCTCTTAACTGCTCGCAATGCAAGTCTGTGTATGTCTGTGTGTATTGCTCAATCAATAACCAATCGATACAAGTTTCTCTATGGCTTGCAATATTTTAACTCAGCTCATATTATATGAGTATTTATTGAAAGGTATTCTGAATACATTAAGCTCTTCTTTACTGAATGATGAATATTCATTTGTCAGTCAAATCGAAAACTGCAATCAAATAGCTTAAACTTAAGAGCCCTTAAATTGAAGATATTCAGATTAAAACATAAAATGACTGGGAAAACGTATAATTTTTGAATACAAAAAGTTTTTGTAAACTCTGTTGTCCTTTAAAAATGATAATTATTAGTATGGACTGAGCCATTGCCGATTTTCTGTAATTATAAAGCAGACTGCAGAATCTGTAGAATTTTAGGAGAAAGTTTATACTACACTTTATATGAAAAACCTGCTCTTATTTCGTAAAAAATAGCTCGAAAACCAACAAATATCAGATAAAGTTCTGAATCTGCATATGCATTTATATGAGAATGCCTCGTGTGCATTTTTTGTATATTTGAAAAATAAATTAAGATATTTGTAGTTTTGGTCACGTTGAGTTCGGTGACAAAAACCAATATTTTTTGTATCAAAATGCCAAGGTTTGCACAGGTCTTACAACGTCTTAGTTCTAGATAATTCGAATATTTAAAGAAGCATGTTGATATCATCGAGTCGAGACTTGTTGAAGTACCAATTCGACTTAATTACAGCAACAGAAAATTTAAGTTTATCTCCGAGCTATTAAAAGCGCGTTACGTACAAAAACAGAATTGGGCCTACAAAAAAAAAACTTAAAAAAACCACGCAACAGGTAAAAAAAAGCGTTGAAGATTTGGCCCAAAGCTACACACACAAGCACAACTGCAATAATTACGGCCAGTACCGACTCAGTCTGTATATAGGGCTTGTGATTACCAGATAGCGCTATCTATTTGTTGGCTTGCCAAAGCTGATAAAACAAGCTTTATATATAAATAAAGGGGGGAGTAGATAACTAAAGCAGAAACTCAGTGCGAACACTCGAAAGCAAAAAATTGATACATATGTATATATAAAGAGGCAAATGAGCAATGCCTCAAAAGAGCAGCAGCAATAAAGAGCGCAACAAGTTGAGAAAGTGTAAAAAAGAAAAATAAACATTAAATCAAACTGAAAACTGAAATGAGCCGCCTCATTATGGCAAACTGGCGAGTAGCTACCTGAGCGGATGTGTGTGTGTGTGTGTCTCTTCGAGTACTGTGCACTGAGAGAGAGCGAGAGAGTGAGTGAGTGAGTGAGTGTGCAATTGGCAGTCTGTCTCTGGGCCTGTGTTTGGGTCTGGGTCTCGACACTTTGCCCATTTGCCGCTGACTTTAGTCATTTTTTAGTAACGCTTGCGTTTTGTCAACATCGCGAGAGCGCGCGCTAAAAATATCAAGTCGCGTTTGTCTTCACCATTTTACAATTATTTGTTTATTATTATTATCGTCTGCTGACTACACACACACACACCCACACAAGCACTCACACTTGCAACGTAAACAATAGCCATAATAACATTGAATTCAAAAAAAAACTTCACATACCTTGACTTAGTTATAGGCTCGAAAAGTAACAAAAAACAAACCAAAAAAAATAGCAGTTGTTTGTTGAAAGTTTATTTTTAACCAGAGAGTGCGAATTGCTTTTGCTGTTTATCGATTTTGTTTGAGGCTTCCTGTCGCGCCACTGATTAGCCAGTTGCCCGCCTGTTTGGCTGCCAGTGGCAGTGGTCTCACATTGCACATACGCAACGTATGCCGCTGTATGGCCACAAATTGAATTTCAAGTGTGCATGAACCAGCTGCAGTGGCAGCTGCAGCTCTTCTTGCAAGGTCGCCAAAATACTGCTCAAGGTTGTGCTGGGACACAACGACTGTGCAGCAACGTCGTCGTTGCCCTGGGGGCTTTCAGCTGCTTCCGCTATTTGCATTTTGGTTGCAACTCACACGCAAAGAAAAAAGGAAGGAAAAAAAGAGCTGCTTGAAAGGAAAATGTTGTATGTTGTTTATATAGCTCGACTCTCCCTCTCTTTTATATATACTTATACATATTTGCACATGACAAATATGCCAAGTTTATCTGTGTGTGTGTGTGTGTGAGTGTGTGTGTGCATATCCGGTTTAGTTGCAGCTCTTTGCCTTGCTCGCTTCCTTCCTTCCTTATTTTCTTTTTGGTTGGCTGTTCTACAAGCACAATCAACATTTGCACAATACCTTTTTGCATTGCTTTGGCAAACAATACGCTGCATTTGCTGCTGCTGATTTCTTGTAGCTAGTGGAGAGTAACCCTTAAGCAACCCATCTCAACTATATGCTATATATATGTATATATATATATATATATATGTTGTACATATGTACAACGAACTGTGTATGTTGGCCAATAAATAAATCGTTGATAAGCTCAAGGCAATGCAATTGATTTTATGTATTGTGTTGCTGATTGCACGCTGTGCGCCCTTATTGAATTTCTACTCCTGTTTGTTTGTTGGTTTTGTTTGCTTGGGTTAGTTGCTTTGTAACTGAGTACAGTTGATGGGTTATTGCCGCTTTGCAGCTGCAGAAGCCATTTTGCCTACTCGCCGATTTCGATGGATTTTTCATTATGCAAATAAACATATTTATTTCACTTGCGTTCTGTTTTTGTCATAAGCGACTTTTCACACTTTAACAGTTGTAGTTGTGAATTTGATTGGCCTCGCTTCTGAATCGTCCGTCTCACCCCTCTGCCTACGGAATTGACAAGAGCCACAAAAAAAATGCAATAAGTGCCAGATAAAGAGAAGGAATAGAAGATGGTTATGTCAACTGATTTTGCATTACATTTTACAGCGGCAAAATGTGTGGCAAATGTGCGAAATACTAGCAGCTTATTGACGTGTCAAGGGGGTTGTTCGAATGCGGAGGATTCTGGTTTGACGACTGGGTAGGCAACATGTCAACGAACAAATTGTGTGTGTGTGTGATGAGTGTATGGGAAGGTTGAATGATTTAATGCACAGAAAGCGGTTTTAATATGCCAAATTCGTTGATTTGTGGCTTAATTATGCTTAAATGTAATGCAAAGTTAATTATTACAAAGCCAATAAAACTTTACAGTCTTAACTCAATGAACACTGTTTGAGTACAAAATTGGTGAACGTGATTAAACTTTTGAATGAGATTAAACTTTAGGGGAACACGTCGCTTATAGCAACTAAATCTTACTTATCACGTTTATTTCTAGACATTACGTCCATTGTTCTCTCCACCATTCCCACTTCCGTTCATATCTCTGACTTCAGCTCTATTTACTGAACATATCAAACAGCCATCTAAAGACAAATAAAATTGTTAAATGTTCCTTTTATGTCTCTCATCTTGCATCATCTGGATAATAATAATAATAATAATAATAATATTATTATTATAATAAGTGTATTTCTTGTTGGTACTTTATAGTATTTCGTCGATGTTTATGCTTCATTCACAAACGGTTGTGCTCTGGCCAGTGAATAAGGCGTCTATGATGTCATACCTTTTCTTATCAATCCCAAACACACACACTCACACACCCAATGTAATTTCTTCACTTTTATATATTAATTTCTGGTGTCCATTGCTTCGTAATCGTTGATAAGGCCACTTGGCGTACGGGCGGCTGGTTACTCGGAATTACGCATACGACAGGTGGACCAAGGTCATTAACTGACGCTTGACTTTGGCGTCCATGTAATTTTATTTGACTTTTATGTTTTATTTTTGTTGCCGCCAGCCGCCCAAAATGTGTCGCAATGATTCAGTTTTCCAATCGCTGTCGCCTTATCGCAACAGTTCTCAATTTACATTACGGCCAGCTTCAGCAGCAGCGTTTGTTTTCTGTTTTCTGTTTTTGTTTTGGGTTTTGCTGTTGCTGTCACTGTTGTTGCTCCTTATCAAATTGGCTTTAGGCATTCCAAAGTTGGTGTAGTCATACCTGATTAGATATGACCGCGCACCCCCTTTCGGGTACCCCATTGCGAAATGTGTGGAGTTTGGTGGCACCTTCGACTGTAGAGAAACGTATTTATTGTTCTCTTTTTCTGTAGTTTGGTCTGTAACAATAATTCAGAGCATTTTTCCGTTTTTTTTTTTTTTTTTGTTGCCACAAAAATGTGATTCATTAATTTTTGTCACCACATTTAAAAGCGGCGCTTGGCTGGTTTGGTGTGCGTGGTTTTTGATAGCTTTACACTTGCAATTTGTCAAGAGCACTCGCCCAACATGACAGGCAATTTATTACAGCGGCCAGCTGCCTGTTGAGCTACCGCCCGATTCAATGTGCCCCTTGCCCCATGCCCCATGCCCCGTTTTGCGCACAAAGCAGAAAATCCGCTCACGTGTACATCGATTGCTCTTTAAATGCAATTAGGCACTTGATCTTTTGCTATCGGATGGCGAAAACAAAATACAAATGTAATTAAAGGCGATTACGTTTGCGGTCGTTGCCACAGCCCCAGAACGAGAGACAGACAAAGAGAGAGAGGGATAGAGACAGAAAGAGAGATAACGATGAAGAGAGAGAGGAAGAGTCGGGGAGTCTGCAGAATCAATTGTTGGTAGTCAGAATGGAAATGAAAAAACAATATGAGAGAGGCAAATAAAAAGGTGCCTAGCATAAAGTGTGTGACATGCGTCCATTAAATTTGCATAAGGAAAATGTTTTCCCAAGTTCAACTTGTGTCATAAAGAGAATATGTCAATTCTCCACCCGACAGCAACATCAGCAGCAGCAAAGGCAAAGCAAAAGCACCAACAACGGCACCGGCATAAAGCGAACAAGTCAACAAGGCTACCCGAGAGGCATACAATGAAACACTAAATCCTGGCCTCCTGTTCGGGCTTTGGTCAGGAGCAAGTCGAAGCCGGAGAAGCTTGTCATGCTGTCATTCGCTGGCCACAGGACATGCATGGACATGTCTGGACATAAAACAGTGCAGTATGCGAAATATGAGTTGTCTTCTTGCCCATGGGCTAGGTCGGGCCCTGTTACACACATCTACATTGGTGTTGGCTGAGAATGAGGCTGTACCCCCGGTCATTTACATATAAATAACCAATGTATTCGCTTTGGAATTGATTTTCCATTTGCCAACTGTATTTCACATGGACAGACTCGGCAAATTTGCCAAAATTCAAATACGTTCAGGGAATTTTGTTTTGCTGTGTTGCGCTGTGTGAGTTTTCCCAGCAGCTCTTTTAATGAGTTTTCCCGCACATTTAATGCGTTGCCTCATTTCTGGAGTATTTAAATTTAATATGTTTACTCACAGCCCCGTATTTCTTTTACCCTCTTCATTTAAAATACTTATTCTTGAATGCATACTTAAATATATATGTTGTTAAATTTCAAATTGAGTTTCTGAGTGCGTGGAAATGCGAACATCCACTCAGATAATGGGGAGCATAGCCTGATGAGTTGATATGTTGAGTGTGCTTCGATTGTAGATAAAGAGTTTAAATGAAACCCCTTGTTTTCCATAATTGGCAGCAACTGTGAACGTGTTAATTCATTAGATTATTTATTAATTTTGCTGCATTTTAACACTTTCTGGAAAATTCGTATAAATTGGAATATTTCACATTAATATTGCTTACACTTATGAAATATTAAATTGCAACTTGCTTATTCTATGCATTTAAGCCGAGTCTTATAAGCCAACGTCTGTCACTGCTGGTGGCACCTTTTGCATGCGTTGCCTACACACTGGCGTGTGTTGCAGCTTACACACACACACATGCACACCATGGGCAACACGTGCCGTCGCATTTCTGAGTCCTCTTCGACGAAAAAAGAATCGTATTTTGTTTTATGTCTTTTGTTGGCGGCTCTGTGAACAGAAATGCAAACGATTTCTTCATGGCTCTCCTTGCGGGCGCCAATATGTGCGAATATATATATATATATATATATATATATGTGTGTGTGTGTGTCAAAAATCCATAAAACGCTTTTGTTGGCGTACCATCAGTGAAATTGTGGAGCATTTTACACATTTGCCCAACACAAAAATATGAAATGAGAATCTCTTCCTTTTTATTGCCATATTATTTATCTGCAGCTGCTTTATTATGGCTCAAATGAGAAGCCTTTTCTGATAATTCAAGCGGATGGCCAACATAAATAATTGCCATTTTATGATATAAATAAACAGTGAATAAAACCTAATTCATATGAAATGTGCACTTTAATAATTTACAATATTCGGCTTTTTCGAGCTCGGTTTTTTTATTTTTCTGGCCACGTCTGAATTAAACATTCATTGAAAATGCTGGCATCAATTAAAATGCGAGCAACTGGAGCAATTCCAAATTCGCAGTGGCTCAGTTCGGGTTGGCTTATGTCATTAGCCTTGTCAGTCGGTAAAACAGAAATAAATGTACGAAAGTGCCGACGGATTTATTGACTGAAAATAAGCGAAGTAACAGCAGTAAAAGTAGAATTCCACGCGGACAGCAGGGGGATATTTTAGGTATATAGATATATCCTAAGGAGACAAGGAGTATTGGTAACTCACCTGCTTAGGATGAGTTTGGTCAGAGTCTGTGCGACACTCTTCATTTATTTAATTATTATTGGAAAAGTTGCTCGGGGGCCGCGTTGGCGTTGCGGGGGTGTTCTTGCTGCCAAGGTCGTTCACATCATGGTCCACTTTATTGTCGTTTATTGACCCTGTCTAGGGACTCCAGCTGCGCATCTCCCATTTTTAAAACGACATTCACTTCGCCATTCAATTTGCGTAGACATTTTCGTATCATTAATGCGAAATTTATGCAAATTATTGTTTCAAATGAATTGTAATGCCAAAAATAAAATTCAAAAATTGTAATTACACATATATAATTTAATTGAATGAATAAAGATATTTTCCAATCAAATGCACTCGCCTGCCTCTGGCAAACAGGGTGCTTGCGTTATTGCAAAGTGCAGTCAAATATGAAATAGCTTCTGATCCATACAGGGTGCTCCTCCAACAGACTATCAATATGCCAAGCGGCACATATTAAAAGTGCATTCAAGTAGAAACTCAATAAGTGTTGTGCATCATGTTCAATGTTAAAATCAAAGTCAAGGAAGGCAACAACACGCTGCCGCGTAGCGGGCAGCGCAGCAATGTCAATTCCTATCTAGCTGCCACGGGCGGCGGCAGTGGTCGTAGCAGTCCAGCAACTGGCAGCCTGCGCAGCTCGTTGGCCTCCTCGAATGGTGGCTCGCTGCGCCGCAAGGGCAAACACGTGCGAATCGTGACCAGCTACGATCCCGTGGAGCGGGACTACGATCGACTACACAGACAGCAGCAGTTTGGTAAAACATTTGCGTTGCAGTTAAAGTTAAAGCACTTGATATAATTAGGCAAACGTCTGAAGCAAACGTCTGAAGCAACTCGGCAACTAATCAATTTGATCTTTATCGTACCCCATAGATAACGTTGATGGTGTGACGGAGCTGCGTGTGGAACAGTATGAGATACATATTGAGCGCACCTCGGCAGGATTGGGTCTTAGTATAGCCGGTGGAAAGGGATCGACACCGTTTAAGGGCGATGATGATGGCATTTTCATATCACGCGTCACAGAAGCTGGACCCGCTGATCTGGCTGGCCTCAAGGTGGGCGACAAAGTGCTCAAAGTGAACGGCATTGTTGTCGTCGACGCGGATCATTACCAGGCCGTGCAGGTGCTCAAGGCATGCGGCGCTGTCTTGGTGCTTGTGGTGCAGCGCGAAGTGACGCGCCTCATTGGCCATCCAGTGTTCAGTGAGGATGGCAGCGTTTCACATCTTTCTGTCGAGACGCGTCCACTGGTTGCAGAGCAGCAGCCAGTTGCCACACAGGAGCGTTACATTCCGCCCCCCATTCAAATAGTTCCAGAACAGCAGCAGCCTGTGCAGCAGCTAATGCAACAGCCAGTGCAGCAACTAATGCAGCAGCCAATGCAGCAGCCAATGCAGCAGCCAATGCAGCAGCCGCTGCAGCAGCAACAACTGGCGCCTGCCCATAGCTTTTCGGGCAATGTGTTTGCCTCCCCGACGCCAGTAGCAAATGGATTGATGCTGGAGAATGGCAAGGTAAACATACAATTTCACTTGCCACATGATTGACTACTTCATCTATTTAACAATTTGTTGGCAGGATTTGATGCCGCTGAGCTTCATACAATTACACACGACACTCATACGCGATCAGATTGGCCAGGGATTGGGCTTCAGCATTGCCGGCGGCAAGGGTTCGCCACCATTCAAGGATGACTGCGATGGCATTTTCATATCGCGCATCACCGATGGCGGCCTAGCGCATCGCGACGGCAAAATCATGGTCGGTGACCGTGTCATGGCGGTGAGTGAGATTACGACACAACACAGTTGTGCATGCGGCTGAAGAGTGGACAGACGCTAAGAGCTTTTCATTGTTTACAAATGCAACCACCCACCTTTCGCACAGATTAACGGCAACGACATGACGCAGGCCCATCACGACGCCGCTGTTGCCTGCCTCACAGAGCCGCAGCGATTTGTGCGGCTTGTGCTCCAGCGCGAGTATCGTGGCCCCCTGGAGCCGCCAACGAGTCCGCGCAGTCCCGCTGTGCTCAATTCGTTGAGTCCCTCCGGCTATCTGGCCAATCGACCAGGTTAGCACACTCACCTTATGCTTCAATGCGTCGCGCTCTTAACTTAACGCTTCTCGATGTCTCTCTCTTCTTTCTCTCACGCTCTCTCTTGCAGCTAACTTTGGCCGCTCTGTTGGCGATGAGCAGCCCTACAAGTATAACACATTGGCCACCACGCCCACGGCGACAGCAGCGACTACCAACAACAACAATAACAACATTTCTAATACGCTGCCTAGCAATAAGACAAACGGATTTTTTGCAGCTGCAAGTGCTGCTGCGCCAGCTGCAACTGTAGCTGCTGCTCTCGCTCCAGCTGCCACTGCGGCTAACGCACACGTTGACAAGAGCACAGGTCAGCCGGTGCCAGCACCACGTCGAACCAACTCAGTGCCCCTGGGCGATGGTGAGGGTACGTTAAATGGCGCCGCTTCCACCAGCAGTGGTGACTCTGGCGAGGCACAGGTAAGAAGCAGTTCATTCAATTTCTTTGCAGTAGCTCTGCTAGCTCCTCTTAGTTAACTGTTTAGTTGTCTGCACGTCATTTTAATGTTGCTCATAAGCTCGTTCGTCTTTGCGTTAATCATAACCAGGCTAGTCTTAAGTAACCTTCAGGCCAACACTAAAAACAAAAAACAAAAATAAGTAAAAGAACCCAACAACTTGCGCGACAGTTGGCCAAATCAGCAGCAGCAGTAACAGCAGGTAAGTTCTTCCATCATCTTGGCCAACTGATGCGCAAGCTTGGGCCCCGAGATTCACGCAAATTGTTGTTGATACACACATAAACACTCTTTCTATATAAATATATATAAATATTCGAATACAATACCTAATTGTGCTAATACATACTCGTATCTGCCAGATTATCAACCTATAACCCTAGCTCTTAGCCAACACATACATATATACTACATATATACAATAGTACATACATATACTATATAAAATTTGTTTGTGTTTGTTTTGCATGTGCCCAGTGCGCGTCCCTATTCGTGTCTTCTTACCATATATCTTGTTACTTTTACAATTATTGTTACATTTTTGTCTCATGCCCAATCACTCCCAAAAAAAGAACAACAACAATCAACATCGATAAGTACATACATATATTATGCACAAGCAATTTGTGTTTTGTTATCTGTCCTTGGCTTAACAATACCTATGCACCCAGAATGCAGAACAAAACAAGAACTGTATATACATACATATATCTATACATATTTATATATATAATGCTACCACGTACATACATACTATCTATAGGCAGTTTAGCTTAGCACTTAGACCCAAAACCAAACGAAATGTGTAACGAAATTTACAAAAACCAACATATTTTTGTTTCTTTTTCTATAAAACCAAATGTTGCTTTAAAACTGATATTTCCACCAAAAAAAAAAACAATCCAAAAACCAAACCAAAAAACTTGTCCAAATCAAAATACAAAAAAAAACCCACGACAAATCAACCCAATTCCAATCAACCAATGACAACGAGCAGCCTCCGTCACTACGACCATTGACCAGCGATGATTTTCAGGCGATGATTCCGGCACATTTTCTCAGCGGCGGCAGTCAACATCAGGTGCATGTGGCGAGACCAAATGAGGTGGGCGTCAGCGCTGTAACTGTGAATGTGAACAAACCGCAACCAGATTTGCCCATGTTTCCAGCAGCTCCCACCGAAATGGGGCGCGTAACCGAGACCATCACCAAGTCAACCTTTACGGAAACGGTGATGACGCGCATCACCGACAATCAGCTGGCGGAGCCATTGATCAGTGAGGTGACTATCACAACATCACGCATACACTAAACGCAAAACAATTACTAGAAAATTATACCAAAGCTACATATACTAAGCACTGTGTGTGTTAAGTGGCTCCGCGGTCCCTCACTCTTTGTTGAGTGGTGCGACAAAATTGAGACATGTTCCCGTTAACTGAGGCTGCCCCATGGGGCATCATTTCGCTGCTCACTGTTCCAGCAATCAACAACGTGGATGAGAGCTTCTCTTTTCACATACCTATGCACAGCCACAACATACACACCCCACACACAAACACATACACACATACATTCACAAAAAAATCAAAAATCAAAAAAAAAAAGAAGAAAAAAACACCTTTTAAATTTTGTATACAAATGTAATTGGCTCCTTTTTATTGTTGGCCCTCATTTTACTTGTATATCCGCTAAGCACCTACATATATAAACTTATTTGGATTTATTGTAAATAAAATTTTGTGCGTTTTTGCAAACGATTCGATTTAAACGATTGATTCTCCTTGCTTCTGGCACGCTTAACGCTCCAGCATTGATCCTTACAGGATTCCTTCCACCTATCATGTTGAAGCGTTCAACTATGCGATGCACATTATTAAATAATTACTATTGAAATGTTAAGCATTATGCAAAACACGCACATCGAACTAATTGAAATCCCGTATTTATCAATAGTTGTAGTTGTAGTTGGTTTATGGTCTTTAAACTGTTTAAATTGTATACGATAATAAGTATTTTGCATTTGGTAAATGGTGCATGCAAAAATTATATTTATATTCGTATCCTTTACATTTTCTGAATTAAAATGAATTAGCATTAATTGAAAACTAAATGATTTGGTTAACTAACAATTTAACAAAGACCCTTAACTATTAGACTTATTTAATCGTAAATATTATTTATAATGGCATATAGAAATTTATTAATAACCGCGAACACAATAAAAAATTTACATCATAATTTCAGTATTTTTTGTAACATTCAAATACCCGAGGCCATTAAGCTGGGCCAATAGAGCCGCATTCATTTGTCAGTCTGTTTGTGTGTCTTTATGTCTGTTTCGAAGTTAACAAATATATTATAATATTAAAGCTGTATTCTTTTGTTGGTCACAGCTGAAGAGTGATAAAAAGTCTTGTAAAACCAACTTATCTGAAATCGAGTAAATTAAAACTGTAGAATCTATTGGATAAATCTTTTTTCAACAAATTTGGTTTAAATGGATTCAAATTGAGACTGTATTATTGGCAATGGAACGATAAGTTCAAAAAATGTTTTCATTTTCTGGTGATCAATATATTACTCCTGATTATTTGACGTTAAACACGCTTTACTATTTGACATTTGGTTTAGTCTAGATAAGATAGCAATATCTTACATAATACGATCGCAATGGTATTCAATCTTTGGCACGTCAAAGATTACAGTTCCCACTATAAATTGTAATACCAAGGCAGCAACGAAATAAAATGAATTTTCGTTAAATTTTAGATGCCCTTTCTTTAGAGCTTATAGAAGCAAAACTTGGGCTTAGAGCTGTTCTATGTGATTTAACTACAATCGAGTTGTGACTAAAGGCAGCTTTGCACACACTCAGCAGAGCATAAGCCACTCCGAGTGTCATCGTTTAAGTCCCAGCTGAAAATCTCCGTATCAGTGCAGCTCTTGTGGTCGGTTTTCAGCCGCTCTCCACATGAATAAGTAAATCAACAAACTGCTCGTACATTCACATGAGCACAAAATCCATTAAATAATGCACGATGTAGGCAAAGCACAGACACACCAAAAAAAAAACGTTTATTACAAAGTAAATGTCAGGCGGAAACGACCACAATGAATGTGTCGTGTTAGCCGTAGTCCTTGCTCAAACTTGAAGTGAAGTTTATCTTTTACACATTTGTAAATTGGCCAAGTGTGCATGAGTCTGATGTCTAGTAAAACTTGCATTTTGAACTGCAAATGAAATATTTAATTGCTTTAATTTCACTTTGTTTTTATTTGTCATATACTTTTGGCATGTCTGTTCAAATGTCTGGCAGGCATTTGGCCAACGACGTCGATTGCATCGTTGCCATAAGAACTCAATTTGTTTAAGTGAATTTGCCAAAGTCCTGCCCAGCCAAAGAAACCAAAAATACAAATAAATATCGTCAGTTGTTGTAAAGTTCTGTAAGCCAAAGAATATTGTCTGCTATCGAATTATATTTTGACATTTGTATAAAAGGCAGTGTGTGTTAAGTTTTGAATTTCAATTGCATGCGTTAAACCTCAGACAGATCAAAGTCACGTCAGTGACTTCAATTTGTGTATGTGGTTTATATTCCTTATACTTCTATTTATTTTGCTCGTCTTGGTTGTGACGTAGCCACAAACTGTTAGCGTAATGTCAGTTAGCCAAATAATTATTTGACCTCTTGCATGTTGTTTAAATCACATTTAAGTTATAAGCATAAACTCATAATATAAGTATTGTGTTTTTGGGTTCGTAATTCTTCGGTTTTTTGTGGTATGTTTTTTGTTTTTGGAATATTTGACATTAATTGGATGGCTTTTGTTCTGTTTTGTCTTTCTATCTATCTATCCTATTACTAATTATTATTTCAACCTGAAATTCAAAATTTTGTTCATGTAAATATCACCAACAATTTTGCACACACTCACACTCATTATGAGACCACCCACATAAGGCACCCCTCATTCCGTGCTTTTCAGTTCTCACAGTGAATCAAGCAATATTTAATATGACTATTTTTGTTTATCTTAAACCTTTCCATTCAACATTGCAACACTTACTAATGCCGCATTCCATTGTGTCTCTGTAGGAAGTGGTGCTGCCCAAAAATCAAGGCTCACTCGGCTTCAGCATCATCGGCGGCACGGATCACTCCTGTGTGCCATTCGGTACTCGCGAACCGGGCATTTTCATTTCACATGTAAGTTGAACCACCAACGAATTTCGAAAAGGGGCAAGGGTGGAGATGGATGTGGGTGTGGTGTGTACCACTGCGAGGCGAAAACTAGTAACAAACTGCAAATTAAAGCAATTGAGCTGCCGCAACTTGTGGTTGCAAATGAGCTGCACAATTAGCTCGAAATGAAGTCAGCTGCTTTAAGGGCAATTAAAAAAGCCTCGCAGTCTGACGAACTCAGAACTTTTGACATCTGATTGCTGTACAAGCAAATTTATACACTGCGAAATTTAATTAACGATAAAAAAAATAGTGTTGAATAAGAAAGAATAAGAAAGTTACATGTTTAAAATGAACAGTAAAATGTTTGAGTTTAAGGGGTGAAAGTCAATTAGAGCCAAGGTTGTAAGATATAAAACATTTTATTTCAAAGCAGTAGCAAATTATCTCATTGTAGCCAAAAGTGCTAAAATTGAATGTATTCTGCTAAATATTATAATTAATAATTGGTACCATTGAAAGATAATGTAAATAAACTTTTAGAGTACCCAGCACCGAAATTAAACTTTGTCGATATATTTAAAAATCTTTCTTTTCACGATAATGCTAGTTTCAAGTTTCTATTAGTTAAGCAGCTACGCAATACTTAAGTCAAAAAAGTCATAACTCAAATGATATTCATTTTAAACGCAGTGTATTTAATTAAATTTCACGGAGTTTATGTCATACTTAATTCGTTCTACTAAAGCTATTTTTAATCCTATCCCCTACATAGATTGTGCCCGGTGGCATTGCCTCAAAATGCGGCAAACTCCGCATGGGCGATCGCATACTGAAAGTGAATGAGGCGGACGTATCGAAGGCCACACATCAGGATGCCGTGATGGAGCTGTTGAAGCCAGGCGATGAGATCAAGCTGACCATTCAGCACGATCCACTGCCACCTGGTTTTCAGGTAAGCCAAACATCGGGTAGCTTTAGTATTATTTAATGCTCTTTCGGTCTTTAGTTTGCTTTTGTGCCACTTATTAGTTATGCTGTATATAGTATTTGTATTTTGGTCACACTGAATATCTAATTGCTTTGAGTCAAACACCAAAATCCTATTTATACTTCTCTTTCCTTTATGCTCTATGAATGCTTATAAAAACATTTACGATGCAAAGCACATAGAAGTAGTTTATATTAAAACAGAGGTAAGATTTTTCAATATTCTACACCCGGCAACACTGTTGGAAACGCTAAATACACTGATAATAAACTTTATGGTTATAATTTTATTTTGAAATGATTCTTAATTTAACATCTTAACGAACCCTTTATGCAGACATTTTTGTCATATTGATTGAATTAATATTAGAAGGATATACTCAGATATCTTAACACCCGACTAAAGTGAAGTAAATGGAAATTTAATAAATCGTTTTACGAGAGTCAACTGTATATACTTACCTACTTTTTACAATAAACAAATTTGGCCAAACTGGAACTCTTTTAATAAAATACGAGTCTGTAAAATATCAGAAAATACATTTTGGTAGCTTTATAATCAGCATTATAACAAGAAGTTAATATAATTTTTGTTTATTGTTTTGATAGTAACCTAAAAAAACTATAGTATGATGATATGTAATCCGATCACAAACATAACAAAATGTATATATTGACATATTCAAGTAGAAAAAAATGTTTACTTACACTTTCCTTGTTAACTGATACGACCAATTTGTATAAAATGGCCAGGCGGTTGAATCCCTTTTATAGCTTTCTTTATCGCTTATTGTACTATATAAGCCATTTCGTGAATAACTTCCCACTGCTTTGTTTAGCATAATTATCATCTGAATTGTTTTGGCTTAGTCTCTACTCTTATTTATAATTGTTGTGCTCTTAAGCAAGCAAGCCAATGCTAATTTTTATGCTTTTGTTATTGTTGATGCTGGTGATAATCGTAGGAAATTCTGCTGGCCAAGGCAGAGGGCGAACGTCTGGGCATGCACATCAAGGGTGGCTTGAATGGACAACGCGGTAATCCTGCGGATCCTTCCGACGAGGGTGTCTTCGTGTCCAAAATTAACTCGGTCGGAGCGGCGCGACGCGACGGAAGGCTTAAGGTAAAATGCCAGTGCCAGTCCGATTTTTTGGGTTTCATGACAATTGGGAGCAGGGGGTTTGTCTGGTCAACTGGCTGAGGCAGTCAAATTGAATTGGCTTGAACTAAACTCAACTTGTGTGTATCCCCAGGTGGGCATGCGTCTGCTGGAGGTCAATGGTCATTCGCTCCTTGGCGCCTCGCATCAAGATGCGGTCAACGTGCTGCGCACTGCCGGCAATGAGATTCAATTGGTCGTGTGCAAGGGCTACGATAAGTCTAATTTAATGCATTCCATTGGCCAAGCGGGTGGCATGAGCACCGGCTTTAACTCGTCGGCATCCTGCAGCGGTGGCAGTCGCCAAGGTGAGAAAAACATTGAAAATTCGAAATAAACAATAAATTTGAACTTATCACAAATTTAACCTTGCAGGCTCTCGTGCATCAGAAACGGGTTCGGAGCTTAGTCAAAGCCAGAGCGTGTCCAGCTTGGACCACGATGAGGAGGAGCGTCTGCGACAGGTGAGTTCAAGTAAGCATGTCCACTGGGAGAAAACCTTTTAAGCCTCTGCCGTCTACAGGACTTTGACGTATTTGCGGCACAGCAACCCGACATTGTGGCCATGCAAGAGCCCACCAGCCAAACGGGCTTAGCAGCTGCGGCTGCCTTGGTGCATGGCCCACCCTCGCCCTCCCCCAAACCAACCACACCGATTCCGTCCTCTGGATCCGCGATGCCCGCTGACTTGCCGCTATCTGACACAGCAGCCGCGCAGACTGTGGCGCTTATTCACGCCGAACAATCGCACCAGCAACAACAACTACAGCCGCAGACACAAGTGGCAACAATTGGGCAGGAGAAGAGCACCCAGGAGAAGGTTAGTCAACGACCTTAACCTTTAGCTGGCTATCTGGTCAGTTGCTTAATGAGTGCGTCTTCTTTTCTTTTCCGCTTTCGTGCTTAAATCAAATAAGGTGCTGGAAATTGTGCGCGCAGCGGATGCCTTTACCACCGTGCCACCGAAATCACCGTCAGAGCATCATGAACAGGATAAAATACAAAAGACAACGACGGTTGTTATATCGAAGCATACGCTCGACACGAATCCTACCACACCCACAACACCAGCACCACTGCCTCTTTTGCCAGCGGAGTCAACGACCGCTGTGACTGCTGCTGCTGCTGCTGCACCAGTTGTTGCACAGACGCAGACGCAGACACAAACCAATCCCAGCCAGCAACCAACTCAACAGCAACAACAACAACAACAGGTATGTATTTGAAAGCACGTCTTTGCCTAACTCTCCTGTAAATGTCTGTGTGTCTCAATTTTGTGTGTGTGTGTGTGTATGTATGTGTGAGTGTGTGTACGTTACTGTTCCTCTAACCTCTTTAAGCGTGTGTCTGTCCTTTTTGATTTTACTGTGTTACACTTAACATAAATCAGCGCAAAAGCGACTGTCGCGCAAAACCAAAAACCACTCCACCAAAAAACCCTTTCACCTGCATTATTTATTTATGTATTTATTTTTGCTTGCTATCTTCAATAACTTCACTAAAGTTTGGCCTTCAAAATACGTGTTTTTCTATGTGTGTGTGTGTGTGTGTATGTGTGTTTGTCGGTATGTGTATATCTGTGCCTGTTTGTATTTCACATTTTATAAAAATTTGTACATATGACTCAAATTCATATGCCACAACATTTGCCACATCTCATAAAGTTACCACATGAATATAACACTCCATCCACTCAAAATTCACATCACATAATGCTCGTTCCACTTTGCCCCTCAAATTACCTGGCAATTGGCATCAGACTTTGTAGTCGCTAAAGGTCAAATTTGTAGAAGTATGTACTATTTTCGTTTTTACTTGATATTACTTTAAAAAAAAATGTTTAAGTAAAATGAAAAAAGTAAACAGTTTTAACATATAAAATATATAAAAATATACCCGTCCGAGGGAACACTGTCATTCATCAAAATTACAACTCCAACAAACTGAGTGCAATCAATCAATCACACATTTTCTCATGAGTATTCATTATAAATCGTGTTGTATGTATTTATGTTGTTTGATGCATTCTGATTTAATAGTATATAGTACCACATATAATCATACTTAGCAATGCCTCGGGGAGTGGACAATTGAGTGGGGACACGTGTCGCATTTAGGTATGAGTTATAGTACAGTAGAGTGCTATGTGCATGCTGGGGTGCTTTGCATGGCCCCCATATATGTAGCTACAGCTGTTGGCTCTCTCGATAAAGCCGGGATCCAGAGTTTAGGAGCTTCTGCTGGGACCACATGTCCCACATTCAATGAAATGGCAGCAGACGATTTATTATTTATTAGCATATTCGAACGGGGATTGGGGGTGGCAGGCGAGGGTGTGCCAACCACCGATTCTTACGTATTGCCTGCTCGATATTGTTTTTGTTGTTGTCGTTGTTGATGTTGTTGTTATCTTATTTATGCTACTTAAATATTATATCAATTTCTGTTTGTGCCTTTATTGTTACCTTTTGGATGGCTGCTACTGCTTGGGCGGCATTATTATTGTGTATGATTGTTGTGCCTGTTGTTACTGTTATTGTTGTTGTTATTGGTGGATGCTGACTTACCTTAAATCCAGCAGCATTTGAATTTACATTGGCAGCAGCAGGAAAAGAGAAAAGAAAAACATAATATGCATAGATGGCACGTATAATAAATGTGTATTTTTTGTTGTTGTATATATACAGATATATAAGATTCGTATATATATATATTACATATATATATATATATATATATATGTAATTCAAAAACTGCTGAAAGGAATTTCCATTAAAATGTTTCTCTTATCTTCTTCTCGTTCTTCCTTTTTATTGCTCTCAATGACGTGCGCGCCGTTCGCTGCTTTTCAACATATTGTTTTTCCTCATTTTTATATTCATTTTCCTTTTTATTATAATTTCCTTTTTCCGTTTTGCATTCGTATTGCTTCGGAATTGTCATTTTCCGTGGCGTTTTGCGTAGATTTCATTGCAGCGTATTTCTTAACAAGCGGATGTTTCCCACTATAAGACTGAGTATTTAGTTTAAAATACAGGAAAATAAAATTGGAACAAATGCTAAAGAACAACAACATGAAAATAAAGGCAGCAACCGGGCAAATTCTCGTTGTTCAAGATCTTATTTACATATTAAGCCTAGTCGTGTTCAACGGGCAAGGAATTACTAGTTACTTGTTCACTTAACGCAATAGACAGAGGCATATACATTCATAAATATATTCTTATATAGGACAATATGTGCGCTGAAAGACCCTCTTGAAAATACTGAACACACTTGTCGCAGTAAATGGTTTCAATGTCCCTCACCGATTATGCAAAAATATTGTATCTATAAGAGCAGCAACCTAAAAAAAAAACCAAAAACCGAAAAAATTGAATCTTTGGAGTACCGAACCGAATGTGTAATCTTGCAGACAAATTGACTCATTTCCTCATTTACGCAAGTGAAATAAGTAAATTATTTGATTCTTTAAAAATGTTCTGATGATTAAATAAATAAATAATGATAATATTCTATTTCGTTCATTATATCTTTAAAAACAAAAGCAGTCTTGAATTAAGTTTTAACTAACATACCTGCCAACAAATAAATAAAAGCAATAAAACACTCTGCAGGGGAATACAATCGGCTCCAGTAACCACATTCAAAGCCCCTTCCAATTTTTTTAAATACAATACCAAATGCAAACTATATAAATATACTTCAAATTCCTGTGCCGCCTTTTTGCGGCCTTCAGTATTCGCATACAGTATAAGTATTGTTGTCTTTCGATGTTTATAATGTCATATGTGACATGTGTCTATAATTGTATATTATTGTTATATGTGTAACACTGTGCAACAGGCACACGAAACGGTCCAAATACGCAACCAAATCCTACTATGTTAAAAAAGAAACCAAAATGTCAGTGTTATACGAATCAATTTGTATGTACGGATAGGAATAATTCATTTGTTATTGGTTAAAGTGAACTTGTGAGATATTTGTTGCTTTAATGAAACTCGCTTTTAATTTTCAAAATTGGGTTTCTTTTCTGTTGTTCGTTACTGTTTGTCAATATTAAATAGTGGAGTGTGCACATTTGATGTCAATAAATTAAATCTAAATGTTAAAGAAAACTGCAACTTGCCTTATTTCTGGGGTATTCCACAAATTAGTTGTAAAAGGAGAAGATGAGATAATTAAGCAACTACGATTATGGCTTTGATAAATATACAGTGTTTTCATTTCTGCTCCTTAGAAGTAGGTTCAGAACGATTAGAAAGATTAGTTCGACATGTTTTGTACAATTCACTTTTCATTGTAAGTTTTCCCATTGTTCATTTAAATATGTGTTTTTTGTTTTATTTTTCTTTTTTTTTGTTACTTGTCCCTGTCTTTGTTTCGGTCTCGCTGTACACACTCGTTTACATAGTCGCGACAGTTGTGCAGCTCATTCCACATCCATCAAGCAAATTGGCCAGAGCAACGCAAATGCACCAACTCTCATCATCAGGCAGCGACATTGCTAATTGGCTAACAAAAGTGCTGGCGGCCCCGTAACGTGTGTACGTAAACGTTAAGAAAAGTATCGTTGCCGTTGCAGCACCGAATATGTATCATCATAATGAGCACCAAACCATCAACACAGCATATCAACCGAACACACCAACAGTCACAAAAACTCACTCAAAACGCACTCAATTAACGCCGCACATTGCAATTTGTGTTCCATGCTTGTGTGTGTGGCAGCAGTTGCTAAAACGCACCCACCACCAACAACAAACAAACAAGAAACAAATTCGTAAACTAAATGAAAACCCCAAACAATCCAAAATCCAATAGCAGCGCGGAACACAAACACCGGAGCGACTGGCGCCTGGATCACGTTACTCCTATCAGCAAATGCTGGAAGCTCAGGACTTAGAGCAGAGCAGCCGAACGAAAGAGCCAACGGCCACGACGCCCAAGAAGGCCGAACCGGTTTATATTATAGACGACGATGATGATGATGACGATGACGACGACGACGACGTCCAAAACGAGATTGATGTCATTGCCGAAGAGGACGAGGAGGAATCTTCACCTCCCACTGACATGCAGTCGCCGCCTTCATACGTCGACACCGACTCCGATTACAATGAGCGTCCGCGCGGACGCTACACCAGCGATTCGGAGAGCGATTATCGCCCCTATAAGCCGACGCGCTCCGGTCGTAGTACACCGGAATATGGAGGACATCGCAAGTCCGTCAGTTTCGATCTGAGCGGCGATGAGCACTCCAAGTCGGACTATGAACGTTCACGTTCTCGCACACCGGATCGATTCGCACGCGCCTACGACTCAGAGCAGGACACGCGCACGAAGTCCGCCAGCCGCATGCCACGTAAGGGCATCCTTCGCGCCACCAGTCCCAGTTCCTCGACCAGCTCCACGCTGGAGCGTCAATCCGAAAGGCCAGCGCCTATTGTGCCAACAGTGGCGCGCATACGTGAGGTGGAATCCCCACAGGTGCAGCGCGTTTCACGCGCCACATCGCCCGACCGTCCCGGCGAACTGGAACGGGAGAATCCCTTCCGTAACGCCCAGTCTATCGAAGATGATGAATACACTCAGATTGCCAAGGCTATCAGCATGTCGCCGCGTTCACCGCGCGATCAGTTCTTCTTTGGTGCCTCGCGTTCCAGTGAGGATCTGCTCGAGCAGTCGCACTCCAGCGGACGCAGCACACCCAGCACCGTCATCTCCAAATCGACGGAGAATTTGACGGGCACGAGACCTAAAGTGCCGCCACCAACGCTGCCCAAGCCGCAGCTCAAGAAGGCCGATCTAGTGCGCAATGTGGCCTTGGAGACGTTCCAGGCCACCGATGTGGGCCAGGGAGACTTTGCGGTATTCGAGCACGATGCCAGCACAAATACCATACACCAGCTGCCCAAGCTGCCGGTGCGCATGGCCAGCAAGACGACACCACGACCACGCGAGTGTCCACCTCCGCCGCCCGTCAACTACTCCACGTTGCCCCACTCGCCACGGCCCAAGTTCGAGGAATCTGCGTATATGGAGGCTCTGCCGCCAGCGCAACGGCGACCACACGATTTCCTGCACGAGAACTCTCCGGACAACATACTGGTTACGACGGAGCAGCATCGTGACTTTCTACTGCGCGAGAATGAGATGAGGAATCAGCTGCGAGCGCCCCATGAACCAGCACCGCCCATACCATTCAACAGTAGCAGCGGTGGCAGCAACAACAATAACTTTGCGGTAAACAACCCTTTTCTAGATTGTTGTGATACAGACATTGACAGCCTGCCACTGCCCCCACCGCCCCCAATACAATCATCACCACCAGAAACACCACCTACAACGCCCGTCCAGCACTCACGTCATTTGCATGAGCCGCCACTAACCGCTGTCGCCACTAACGCATCAACATCTTATTCTCCCATTGCCAATGCTAACAACAACAACTATTTGATGGATGCCGCGGCACAGCAGCTGCTGATGGCGCCAGCTTCGCCCGCACAAATCTTTCCCACGGCCCAAATACTGCCCGTCCAATATGCCAGCCTACCACAGCCGCAGCAGCCTAACAAACTCACATTGGGTGGTGGTGGTGCGGCACAGTCGCAGTCGCAGTCGCAGCCCATTTTCAATCTGCTGCTGCTGCCCGGCGATCAGCAGCTTTATCTGCAAGCGTCCACGACTTCATCGTCGCCGGCAGCAGCACCACAATTATTACCGGTGAGTGAAACGCGTGTTGCTGCCCCATCGTCGCAGTCGCCGCAATCGAAGCTTCCGAAACCATTGCCATCGCCATCGCCCTCGTATACCACAATGAAATTCCCAACGTTCTCGGAAATTGTGGTCAGTCCCGACAGCAATAGCAATTATCAAAACATGACCACGGCTCGCGTTGATATATCGAATTCGTCGCTGGGCACCGGCAGCAGCTCCTTCTCCATTAGCTCGTCCAGTTCGTCGACGATGCTGACGAAGACACCCACCACAACCACACCATCTGCCGTTGTGGCTCAGCCCTATAGCAGCTACTACGATACAGCCGAGGAAATCTATGCGACCATCGAAGAGGAGGCCATTTACAGTAATACCGCATTCTTTGACTCGCGTCGCAGCAGCGACACCTCCCTTAGCTGTCGGGCCTCCAAATCACCTACGCCGCCGCCTTTGCCCCCCAAGCGACCGTTAAAGCCAAACAAGTTGCGCAAAGCGCCAGCACCCCCCGTGGCCCAGAAGCCGCACGGTCTACGTGGCCTGGGCATGGGCCACTTTAAGCTGCGCTCCCAATCGCAGCCACAGCTGCTAACAATAGCATCCCAAGCGTCCCGCAGCATGCCCCAAACACCCACAACGCCAACAGGCAAGGAGACCACCGTGTAACTGAAATGGCTGTCCACTTGAGTTCAGCTTCGACTGTTGCCTGTTGCTTTATATGTCATGTTGCCAACGAAGCGTTAGCCAGGCTAACTGTGCACCCCACCCTAAGCCTCTCTGCCTTCCTTGCATTTCGCCCATTTTAATTAAAATCCAACACCCTTTTAACCATCAATTAAAAGTGCAGTAGCAAATTAAGCAACGCCCACTGCGCAGCTCTTTAGTAGCTTTTGATATTTCTATTTGATTGATTGAAACCTCCCACCTGCCACCTGACACCTGCCACCCACCACCTGCAACCAGCCGCATCAGTCTTACTAATTAGATACGACTTTTTGTTGACTTTCTCGCCAGCCAGCTAGGCAGTCACTGCAATCCGTTTTCAGAGCAACCACACACAAATTGGTGCTGCTGACATAGATCAGGCAGCCAGTGAAAAGTACAAGAGTAATTTGCGTCCAAGCAACCTGTCTCCCATCTCTCTCTCTCTCCCTCTCTCTCTCTCTTTCTCTCTCTTTCTCTGCCTTCCCCTCTTTCATCTGTTTATCTCACACTTTTTGCTCGGGTCGACTTTAATTTGACGTTGATTGAAACAGTTCGCTGCTTGAAGCACTGCAGCTGCCACGCCACGTTTTCTTCTCGTTGCTCTCCTTTGCGAACACGAATAAAAAGCCAATGAGAAAATTGAAATAAGCTAACACACATACACAGAGACACCTCCGCCCCACCACCCACACAGAGTAGACATACAAAATACAAAACTAATAAAAAATAGAAAGGCAATTTTGTACAATTTTACCATTTATATAGATAATTTTTGCCGTAGAGCTCTTAAGTTGATGTTATTGCTAATTTATTTTGACTAACAAATCGATGAAACAAGTTGAATATAATTTTTAAACGCGTAACCTAAATAAACGATTCTGTAATTCGATATGTTGAATATCTTTCATTTTGTGTTGTCCCCCGTTGCGTTATAAACATATCTAGATATCTAGATCTAAAGATATGTCATTCCTGAACTGGTTCCACTACACATCGCTGGTTCGCAATTCGTTCAATTGAATCAGTGTCAGGCTGAACGCATCACGCTTCTTGCCGAACTCTTCGGCGCCTGGCACTGCACTGATTTCTTACATTTTGCTAAGCGACGCTTTTGGCTGTTCGCGGAGCGAACTGGCAATCTTATCTTATCAGTTAACACTATTAATTGCGACATGCGATAAGCGTTGCCAATCTCAGTGTGAATAGTCTGTGTGTGTGTGTGTGTGTGTGTAACCCACTAACAAAATGATAAAAAATAAAAGTCAGAGGGGCAATGCGTCAGCAAGCTGCCTGAATTATTCAACAGCTTATTGGCTTTTAATGCGCTGGCCAAAACGACTTGACTCGGCTGCAAGCAGACTGTGGATGGTCAGTGGCCACATTCTCAGCACTTTCAATGCTCAATAAATTTCCGTTAGCCCAACCTATCGTCCTGTTCTGCTACAAGTAGCAAAGTAAAGGATGTAAGGGAAGCTGATCACTGCTGTTATCTCAACCTAAGTACGAGTATTGAGCTTAATTGAAAATCGAAAAATCCGATACGAAATTAATTTCTTTGCTAAAAATACAACTCAGCTCCATGCTCGCATCCTGTATCCTTGATAACTGACTCTGAGCTTCTGGCCTGATGCCTGATGGCTTTTGTATATGTAGCCATGTACTTGACGAATCTGTCTCGGGTGGAGGGTTGTAGAGAGAGAGAGAGTGGATTGGTTTGCTAATATCGCCCTCCATGCACTTGTCGTTAGTTGGTCGCTTGGTCGGTTGGTCGCCTCCTTTATTTATGAGACTGGCCTTGGGTGTTATTGGCCATTGTAGTTGTTGCTCTCGTTTATGCATGTGTGTGTGTGTGTGTGTGTGTGTGTGTGTGTGTGTGTGTGTGTGTGTATGTGTGTGTATGTGTGCCATGCCAGCCAAAGGATAAGGTTGCAATTTGTGCAGTTTAACGCTGGCTTTGCTCTTGCTCTTTCTACTGCCGTTTAATGACTTTGTCGTCGTCCACTTCGGAACAGCCAACAGCGTTGCACCCACAAAGTGTAGTTGTCGCCCCTCCTCACTCCTTTGGCATTGGCCTTCTCATATTGCCTAAACCGAAGAAGTTGCATGAAAGCATAAAACAGACAGTACATGACTTTGGATGATAAATGGCCTGAGCCAAGTCCTGTACACTCTGCTGTCCTATTCTGTTTGGTCCTGCACTGCCCAGCCCCTTGCCGCAACCGCAGCTGTAATTTGCAACCCCCGCGACCGTAAATTATATGCCTTGCGGCAAAAACAAAGCTCTGATCTCATCTCGCCTCCAGCTCCACCAACTCTGTTGGCCACTTTATGATTGAAACGCTGGCTGTTGTTCCCCTTCAACTGATACTCCTCTACCTGCTTCTGCTGTTGGCAGCGGACAAACAAATGCTTTTCCATCGTGCCATGTGCTTTTTAATAAACTTGTGCAGTGCCATCAATTTGGTTTATAGTCGTTTTGGATTTCTTTGACTTTCACTTTGAAAATTGCCGTTTTCCAGTCGTTTAATTGAAAATTGCTGAGCAGCAACAGCTGGCAGAATTTTGTACATTTTTTTTTATGAGTGATGTTTTATCTTTGTATTTTTTATTTCGTTTTTTATTTTGCTGACTTTCTAACTAGAGCTTTTGCATTTTTTCAGTTATCACCTGCTGGCGAGAATGCGCCGGTATTGGCAACGCCCAAAAAAACTCCTAAATCGGTGTCCGATAAAAAACGATTCTTTGAGTCTGCAATGGAGGACCAACACAAGCCCACACAAAAAACAGGTGAGTCAACAGTGGATGATCACAAAAACATATAGAAAAGAAAAAGCTTACCAAAAGCGATGCGATTTAAATTCAACATTTTTCTGTTAGATATTCGAAGAAAAAAAAATGAATAAAAAAAACCGTCTTTTATGTATATTTTAAAACACATTATCTCCTAATAATGGCATATACATATTTAGGATAAGACACTAAATACCACAGCCATTGCTTACTAATATACACAATAAATTAGGAATGAAATAGTTGTTTTAGTAGTTTCCCGGCTGCGTATTATACAAGCAATCCTTATCAGGTTTTTGCTCAGTGATTTGTGTAATTAGAATACGAGGCGTGCATCACCAAAGGCATTTGCATGACAAAGCGAAACGGCAGAAGAGCGAACCCGCAATGCTGCTTGCGGTTGAAGTGCACGATTGCAGTTGGGACTTAAGGCCAGCAAGTCAGCCAGCCAGCCGTCCATGATAGCTGTGTGTAGGCAGCAACAGCTACGCTATTTCTTTTAATTTCCTCATTTAATTTGATGTGGTTTTAGTGAGAGTGGGGCAGGGGTAGTAGCTTTTGCCAGTTGCCCCTGCTTGGTAAGGAACTAACTCCCCTGTTGGCCTGTAGATGATTTAAATGAATGTTTCTTTGAATTGCAGAGAAAGTATTTTCATTCCTGTCAAAGGATGAAGTCGAAAAGTTGCGCCAAGAAGAGGAGAAGAAAATTGCAACACTGCGTCGTGATACGAAATCCAGATTATTAGATGCCGCCAATGACAACATTGACAAGGACGATGACAGGCATGCTGATGATAAGCAGCAGGACAACTACGCTGACAACAGCAACAGCAGCTCGAACAACAGCGACAACGAGGACGACGACGACGATGACCACAACGATGCTTATGACGAGCAGGAGACGACCAGCCGGACCAGTCGTAAGGATGTCGTTGATAACGCTTTGCTGGCTCAGCTCGATGAAGCGGAGGACATTAGGTGAGTGCCTGATGGCAAAGTCTTATTGGATTATTGGTGCTTGCGCTCTTTCTGCATTTTATGTTACATTCGATTTCAATGCACAGACACGTCCACAATTGGTAATTCCACAACACAATTATGATAATGAAACACATACACAACCTCAACACATATACACACACATAACATACACTCTTAATACTACATAGTTATAGTTAACGGTGTTTGTGCGTTTCTTTTATCTATTTGCTTCATCTTAACTTTTAAGGTTTCATTGGTAAAGTTTCTACTGCTGCCTTTGGTTTGGTGCTGGTGCCGGCGCAATGAAAAAAAAATGACGCTTTGATTTATGTTGCTCTTATATTAAATTTTTTATATGCATACTGTTACACAATCACACTTACACACCCAAACATATGTTTACATAAGTAGTTTATATTTTTCACTCTTCATGCCACACGCCAGCCAACTGACGGACTTGATCATCATCATCGAAATGTAGAGTGTGTTATTAAATAAGCGTATAGTATGCTAGTTACCTAAGTGGCCCTTATATGTACTACTACGTAGTAAGTACTCTACTCGCATACTTGCGTATATGAATGATATACAGTTTACACCCTAAGCGGTTTAAGTTTTAAGTAGCACTTAAGTATTGTCTGGACTCGTAAATCGCAGGGTGTTTCTAAGGCATCTTGCCACTTAAGAACACGTTATGCTTCTTGCTTACTTTATGTTTTTGTACGCCATCAGACACACAAAGCGAGCGAATGAGAAAGCCAGTTAATTTTTAATAATTCCATTGAGTTGCTCATAGCTTTACATCATGTATAGAAAGTAGGAGCTTTGCTGCCAGTAGCAAAAAAAAAAATTAAATTATGTTCGCATTAGAGCGTTTTGTGCGTTTACTTTGCCACGCATTGCGTATACGTACCATTTTGCCTGCCACACCAAGGCCCACGAGCTGCTCATCTATCTGCTCGTGCTTTGCGTTTGTGCACTGGCATAAACTGGATTCCCTCAAGCACAATGCCAGCTGTTTTTGCAATTGGTTAACTTCATCATACAGCCACCCACAAATTGTGTTTGGTGGGCTTCCCAAGTGGCCAACTGTAAAGGTCGGAGACTCACACGCATAATTTAGTTGAGGCGTTGATTTTAAATGTATTCCAGGTAATCATGTGGGTTGCACCCACAAATCTTTCATTTGCTCCTAAATATTATTCGTATTTTTCTAAAGTGAATCCTATTTACTGCTCAGCCTTTATATCTATAAATAAATTATGATTGCTTTCCGTTTTCGCACTAGAATTCGGTGTGGCTTAAGTCGTTTGAAAGTTTCGACAGTGTTTGGCCGTTTTTACACGTTGTGGCAATTGAAATTAGTGTTGCTTTGTTAAGCTAGCCAGTAGAAAACCGACCAAATCCCTGAGAGTTTCATTTGAAGTTGCATGCAACTTTGAACCTTCGTCAACATTATCAAGTTGGTATATCATTTTGTATGTCAAAAAACAGCTGGGACTCAGCGCTGATGTCATTCTCATATCCGCCAGCTGCTGGCACCCTTCAAGCAGTTGTTTTTATTTAATTTTATTTTTTGCTCGACTGTGTGTCTATGTAGCTGGTATTCCTTACATGCTTATCAGGGGCAACGTGTGTCTAGCCATCGCCCACAGTACGCTTCTAGTTGTTGACTCTCGTATTATGTAATGAGCAACAACAATGTAATTTAATACAATTTTATCCACTCCCCACAATGTTGAACGAGAAAAACACCAGCTTTGAGGTGAAAAGTTTCGAATACCCTGTCAAAATTAAAAAATCAGTAGTATGTTATAAATATAATATTAATATAATTTATTATATTATTGTGGCCAGTTGGAGTTTCATAAAAATCTGGCATTTTAGTTGCCAATGGACTTGAGACTTAGCTTAGTACATAAAACTTGTTGATCGACATTGATATGTAAATTGTACCTGCCCAGATCGCAAAATATGGTAACAGGTTCAAATAGATTATATGATGAACCAAAAATAAATATATAATTTGGAATTTAAATTAAAATTACATGCCTTAAGCCAAGTTATAAAATGTACTGGGGAAATATGTTATTAGGCAACCATTAATTGTGAGATTCTTTCACATTCGATGCGTGTGTGTGGCAACATTCTAAAAAGTTGCGTAGCCAGCGTATCAGGCAAACAAAGTCGAGGCATGTACTTGAAAGGCTGGCAACACGAGATATCATTTAGCGGCACTTTACAACAGGTCACAAGACATCGGAGCCCGCAAGGCAGGCAACTGGCTCAGTCTCTCGCCGTCCGAAGCTTGTTTGCGAATTAAACGTATGTATGACATGTCTCCGGGGAAGGAGGGCTATGAAAATATTACATAAATAACGAAAAAGAACGCAGAGCTATTTTGTCTGAAATGCTTATGTACATTTCATTACGCAAGCGTCTGCAACAGGACATGCATGACCTTCAAGGAATAAACACCGACTGCAAAGTAACATTAATTCTTGCACATTAATCTATATAGGGAAAAATGTTCTTAACTGTTGGCGCGAACTGTTTATCATATTGCCATCAATTCTGTAAATGATCCCTCATGAATTTATACACTCGAATTACCAGCCCAAAACATATCGCCATAAAAAAGAATAGACTTTGCACCTTATTTATACATCTTACATGGCAACGTTCGTAGTCAACAAATCAGTTACAACCTTGAAGCCAAATTTGCGGAGCTTCATAAATTGAACGAGCCGACTGACCAAATGGCTTAAAGCCCAAATATTTACATAAATTTCAATGTGTTATTATGCTGGCATCGTTCGGCCTTGGAATTCATAACGAAGAAAAGAAGATAAACATGTTAATAACCTATTTAAAATTTTCCAGCAAGAATTTCTACCAGTCTGTTTTTTTCACGCATAAATTTACGTTTCGGCCCGACAAAAGAATTGCGTCCGAGAATGAGAAAAAAAAACAATTCATATAGTCATGTATATAGCCACTAAAGCCATATCAAATTAGCCGGCAACGCAATGTTCTCAATGCGATTTGTATTTATATTCAAATTAAACTCGTTTAAATCTATAAAAATTGGTGTAGCACAAAGGCTCCACCAGATCCGTGTTTATGAATTCTTTTTGAGCTTCCGCTAACGTCGGCGTCGATGGCGGCAAAACGCAATCGATTTACTATTTGTGCATTAATCGGCTAATTTATAGTTTGATAATTTATGAACTATTTCTAGATGGTCTGCCGACGTCGCCAGATACCTAAACGCTTTGGCTAACCGCTCATCAGCGGTCAGCGGCCAGCGGCCAGCGACACTCGACTCCCTCACTCTTGCTTTCAATTGGCTTTGGCGGGCTGTCTGGCTGGCAGGCAGTTAGTTTGGCGGTTTGGCGCAGTGGTTGCCCTTGAATTGATCGCGGTGACAAGACAATTGGTCAGCTTTAGTTTTTGTTTTGTTTTCTTTGTATCTTTTTTTCTTCTTGTTGCTGTTCATTTTTTTTTTTATATATTTGTTAGATATTATTTTTTGTTTTTTTGTTTGGTATTTACATTTACGTACGTAGGTTTGTGACCGAGCGCAGCTTCTTGGGCCGCTTTTGTGATTTTATGCAGATGAAAATATTTATGTTTTGTTGATTGCGCATAAATTAATTTATATTTTATGGCGTTGGCGCTACGTTCGGTCCACAAATGGACCGCAGCGCACCGCATATGCAAATCGTCTTTGAGTTTGTGTGAGTGTATTTCTGATATAAAAGCATAATTTGACCTTAAGCTAAAATGAGGGCGTTAATGATGCTTTTTATATGTGTGTCAGTGTGCGTGTGTATGTATGTGTGCTTGTACCTATTTTTTCTTCGAATACAATTTTTGTTTTTCAGTTTCTTTTTTCTCTGTGGCATCTTTTCAAGTGTTTTTTTTTTCTACATATTGTTTGTTATTTTTGGCGCATAAATATTAATTAAAGATGGAAAAACCACAACAAGCAGCGACACCACCACCAAAACCAAATGCAGCTTATAAATTTTATGAATTTTTAATTATTGTTTTCCTGTTTGCAAAAAAGTGCACTTTAATTGTACATCACAAAAAACTTTCTGTTTCTGCTTCTCACCAACTTTTTTCAGGAATCCACTTGACGAAATTGAAGCAGTATTTAGAAGCTAAAATTAAACTAAGTTCCACTCAAAACAATACATACACAGTAATGAGAATGTGACACGTTTATTAACTAAGTTCCGATATCTAACTAACTAGATAATACCTAGCATACGTATAAACAATTAATAAGCGAGAGAATTTGACTATAAGTTACCACAACATAAAACAAAAAACTAACTAACTCTATAATATATATATAATTATAAACACACACTTTTATATGCAGCACCTTTTTATAAAGACTACATAAATCAACTACACACCATAAAATACAGCAGCAACAGCAGCTCACACGCCAACTTAATAATCATAATGTTAATGTTGACGTTTTTCATTTTTAATAGCAATTAATTCTCTTTCCATTAATACAAAAAAAAAAAGTGCACCTTTAAGTTGTATACTTTGCCAGCACTTGAAATTCTTTTACAAACATTTTCCACCCTCACACGCCTGCAGCGTTTTTGAAATACTCACACACCCATACACTTAAACTTAGTGCCTGGGGCATGTTATTAGCATATGTATAATAGTACACACGCATTTTGTATTATTAATAGAGAAAAATAAACAAGGAGAAAATACAAAATAATGATTTTTAGAGCAGGACAAGGAGACTAATTATAACTCTCCATGCACGTTTAGCTAGTGGGGTAAGGAATGAATCAGAGAGAGATGAAGCGATAAAGTAAAATATAGTGCCTAGATGTATGCGTAACTCCAACTATAAAGTTATATTTTTCAATTCCATTGTCCAGCTGTGGGATCAGTCAGTTTTCTTCTTTTTTTCCATATTTATATTATAGTTAGTTTGCAAGTTGCAAGATAGAACCTATCTAATGAAATTGTCTGATGGGCTACAAAACTTGAGGGGTTAAACCAAGTCCACAGCTTGAACTTGAAACTCAAGTGGTATCCACAATTCCATTGACTTTTCTATTAAATATATTCCTGCTAAACGCATTCACGTTAAGTTTATGATATTAATAAATGCGTTGTTGTTGCCAGCGTTATATATTTTTATATATTTTATAGATATTTGTATGAATGTATAGGTATAAAAAAAAACATAAATTTACCATGTATTATTATAATTACACACCTACATTATATATTAAGTATACGTAACACATGCATCATCATCCGCATCAACACGAACTAAACATCAACAACTATTTATGCTCACAAATTCGCTAAAAACATATTCTGAATAACATGTGCCATATTTCTATGTATTTTTTGTTACCACCTCATAAATGGAAATATGTCTACAAATAAATGAAATAAAATAAATCCATTTCAATTTACTGCAGTTTGTAATACAATTCATACTTGGTTACAGTGACGATCCTAACTTACCAACAATTATGTCTCGGTTATGGTTATTTGTAATTATATCTTAAAAAAATTATATAACATACAATAAGCTGAAGCGAAAAGTTCACGAAGGCCATAAATCTATCAATTGCAAAAGTTGAATGCGCTTAAATACTATAAAGTCAAATCCCTAAGACGCCTTGTGCAAAGTTCATTTAAAAGTCGAGAGGACAAGCGAATGAATAAAACAAGCAGAGCGAATCCCAGCGCTAAAATGCAAGCAAAAAAAAAAAGGAAAAGTGGAAATAAAGAAAGTGCAGTTTGGCCAGGTCAAGCCCGGCCGCACTTGGCCAACGGCGTAGCTGGCTTACGATGCGCTTCTTAGCTGTGACAGCTGCTTACTTGAAGGTTGGCCAGGTGCTTAGACGCCGTCGCCGATGGCAGTGTGTAAATTGGAATACATAAATCACTCAAGCAGAAGTGGTTGCCGCTGCCTCACCGATTCAGTCGCTATAATTTCGAATCAAACTTAAACCGAAAGTGTATAGCAATTTGTTTAAGACAAAAGCCACTTGCAGCTCACTCGCTAGAACCATTCTAAAAATCAGAAAATAAAGTTCGTCAGCGGCAGATGCTGAGAATGCGGTAGAAAAGTGCTTAGGGCAAAGAAAAAACTCAGGCAGATGAAGGCAGTCTAAGTGCACTCAGTTTTAAAATTAATTTTGCATACATGAGTCTATATCTCTGATACACATATATACTTCATTTTATGTTTGTCTGTAGAGCGCAAGTTTTACCACTTTGCCGACTTGCAACTGCTTTTGCATTATCCGTCTGGCCATGGCTTGTCTCGAGCTCTGACTCTGACTCCGACTCCGACTGTGCTCTCCGTTTCTGGCTGTGCTTCCGTACTTTGGTTGTCTGCCTTAACACGCTAATCTCCAGATGCCATGTTATTGCACTTGTTGGCAAACTTGTTCAAAAAGTGATTTTTGTCAGTGATGGGGATTTAGAGTAGGGCAAAAGTTTACAATGTGTTTCTTAGTTTTTAATTACAACAAATTTGACTGGCTAGGGCAAAGTTTGTTGCATGGATCAGTCGCTGGCACGTAGACATGTGACTAAAATGAATTAACGTCATTGTTTTTGTTTGCTCTGTAATCGCTCATATCATGTGCTAACCGTATTTAACATTCACATGTTTGTTTGGCCAATCGACATTCTGGTTTATTTTAAATATATATATATATATATGTACAATACAATATATCTGTATATTTATATGTGTTTTACTTTGCACAATTGAAACACCCAAAAAATTACGAATCCACCAAAAAAAAAATGACAGAACCGCACCAAGTCCGGCTCAAACAACGCACGCGCCCAGCAAAATACCCACGCAGCTCAAGCAGCAGCAGCCGCCGCAGCAGCAGTATGTCAAGGCCACGCCCACGACAGTGCCTGCTAGCGATACGCCCAAGCCCTCGTTGCTGCCGAAGCCAAAGGTCAAAGTTGTGATGCCGCCCGCGCTGCAGCAACGCCTTTGGCAGCACCAACAACCACAGTCCCAGCACCAATCTCAGCCCGAGGAGCCAACCATACCCGAGGAGGAGCAAGCTGCTACAACGCCCACCAGCTCCGGCAGTCGCATACCCGTGCGCACATTGAAGGCTGAGCGCCGCGCCCAAGCAGCAGCTGCTCGCCAGGCAGGCGTCAGCCTGGAGGAGTACCTCCTTCAGATGGGGGAGGAGCAGCAGCTGGAACGGAATCACGACACCTCACCAACTACGCCCACGTCGCCTGCGGGCAAAAGCCGCGTCATGATGAAGTAAGTCTTATGCGTGGCGGTCAACGAGTTGACCGGCGTGGAAGCCGAAGTTGATGCAAAGGTCACAGGTCAAATGTCGTAGGAAATCAACAGCTCGTAGGCGTAGCCATTTAGTTTAAGTATCCGTTTGCCATTTAGGTTTGACGGCAAACACATTGTGCACCAAATCACAGGCACACCCACACACACACAGACAGACACAAACACAGCCACAACCACAACAACAAATGCACACACACAATCACAATTGTAAGGCAACTATCACTGAACGGATATTTTTCGACCTAAATCTATGTGTATCAATTTATATATATTTTCGATTCGAGGGAAATACTTTCAATTCTCTATAATCTTAACTTTAATATTGTTTTAGTTTTGTGCGGTGTCTGCTTTAGTCACTTTCTGTATATAAGTATATAATATGGTCTATCCTATAGATACATACTTTTTCTTGTAATTTGCCACTTGCTCTGAAGCACAAGATTAGTTATTCTCTGTTGCAGCTGTCTTAGAATTCCAATCCCTTTCTGCCAACTGCTGTCTAATAATATCTCATTTTTAACCACTCGCAGTGCCGAGAAGCGTGCCTCTTGGCGTGCCGCACGTTTGCGCTCCTTGGAACAGGGCGCGGTCGAGGCGCAGGATGTGATCAAGAATATGCGTAAGATGACCGACGATTTGATCACGCATGAGGCTAAGGCCAGCGAGGTAAGTTCCTAACAATTGTGCCAGCCGCATTTCTTCACACTAACCAACATACAAAGAAAACTCCTCAAAAAAAGAAAAAAACCAATTCCCATTTCCAAAAAAAAAAAAAACAGAAAAATTAACATGCGTGTTCTGCCTGAGGAACTTGGCTGAGTATCTCCTAACCAGCTAATGAATCCAAACCCATAGAGCTACATGGTTTGCTTTACTAACCGCAACATATTACTAAAATTAACCAAAAAATAAATACATTTCAAAATGATTCTCTTTCATGCTCAAGTGTTACTAAGAGCTACTAGTTTACGCAAAATATAGCTAGCAAATATGTGTATTAAACACATTGGAAATTATCCAATGAGGAGAAACGAAAGCTCAACAAAATACATGATACAAATTTGAAATCGCTTTAGCTAAAAACCAAAAATCCATCTTTTCCAAAATATTTTCTTTTCGTAATGCAGCCGAAAATAGTATTTCCAAAAATTGCCATAAAATCAAGCGATGGTCCGGTCATCGTGCGCGAACGTGAGAAAATACTCGATGAGAAAATCGTGCGACGCACTGAGGAGGTACCATGCCCCATAACGGGGCAACCTCAATTGCGTACAGTCGAGTACATTGAGAAAATCATCGAGACGGAGGTTAGCTGAACAAACTGAAAATAATTGTATTATACTCCATATATCCATACATATCGTATATTAATCTAATTGGCACCAAATTGAGTTTCGTTTGCAATGCAAAGCGTTTTATATACACACACACATACACATACATGCAGACATACACATTTATGTATGTATGTACGTATTTTTGGTTGAAAGCCGCTTCTGTTGTGTTCTTGTACTCTTGTAAACGTTGGCTTTTTGCGCTCTCGTTTCGCTGTCGATTTTGTAGTATATTCACGTATTTTGCACATCCTAAAAACACACTTAATGCACTGCACACTGAAGAGCACTCTCAAATGACACTCGTACTCGTACCCTTTGTCATTGTAAATAGCAAACATTTCATCCCAATTCACAGCAGACACACAGACCTAATTATTTTATAGAGCTCATGATTTTTACTGACTGCAGACGGCGGCAAAACTTGCTGCCCTACAAAAAGTATCTCCACATCTTGTAAGTGCCGCACCACAAATGTTTACAAAGCAAATTTTAACATCTACACAGCTTTCAGTTGCACAGTGCCTCGTTTTTTTTTCTTTTCTTTTCTTTTCATTTATTTTTTTTATTTTTGACATTGCGAGAAGCAGTATTTGAAGTCGTGGCGTGGGCTGAAGTGCAACGCATAAAAAGCACAATAAGCTACCTACGCGAAAAGGTACTTCATACTTGAGCTTGGTTATTGTTGTCCTTTAAGTGTCGCGGTTTTTAAGACCACACGCCCCATCGCCCCACAGCCCACGCCCCGTTTGGGTTGTATCTGTTCGTAGGGCATAACCTTCAAAGAGTTTCATTGTGTTTTTTAGGGTTTGTTGTTGTCACGTGTCCATAAAGCGACGACGACCGCCACTTTTACGAATTTGGGGTCTGATTCTTGATTCATTTTAAGTATGCAAACGCATTATAATGACGCTCTGCTTTTTATGGCCAACTCCATTAAAATTAAAGCCAAAGTTTTGTTTCGTTTTGACGCGGCGTCATTTTAATGATTCCAAACGAAATAAAATCCAACACCGCACAACATTTTTATGGCCGATTCTATTTTTAACCACAAATCTGAGTTTTAAAGACCGCTTCTGTCGCTCTTGGTCTATTCGACTTTTCAATTTGCAAAACGGAAGGAAGCGCTACAAACGACAACCGGCTGGAGTGTCAACGGCATACAAGTTTCTGCCCCCCTTTGGCTTAGCTCTGGCAATATAAAATATACAAGTTTGCCATCTCAAAGCTGACCTGAATGCACTGCGGGACGCATGCATTCGTTTCTATAGTTAGCCCAGCGCAGGGCCTGTCAGCGACAAGTCTCGACGCGCCTTATCGTATTTTTACAATGGATTCCTTTAATATTGTCGTCGAGCAAACGCACACGCTGGCAATTTTCTCTGCAGTCATCTACGTCGTCATAAGTTTGTCAGCAGCTGCTGCTTAAGAATCATGCATATTATTTTCCTAGGACCACTTACGCAACTACCATATTTTCATAGCATTGCATAATTTTTATCAATTAATTTTTCCTGAAATATGTTCAAGAACTTTTTTTTTTAACTATTTGTTTTGAGGAAATTCAGTGCATTAGAAGCTCGCTTTATAGTTGCCTTAAGCTTTTTGATATATTATAAAGCAAATAAACTATCAGAGCGTGTAAGAAAATAAAGCTTAATTACAAAATAAACAAATAATTATTGTATGGATTTTCTTTTTTGCACTTTATTCCTTTTTGAATTTCTTTGCCATCGAGCTCTCACTTTAATGTACAACTCATTCAAACCGCACACCACAAATTCGACATATCAATTATATCTTTGTTTTGCACCCACTTTAAAAATATTCATATACATATATCGATTACTGGCATGCTTTTGGTTTTGGTATCTACGCTTGGTGTTGTTTATTGTTGCCTTGTTTAGTAGTTAGTGTGTGCCATCAAATCAAATGCACAACATATTGCATTCCAATTAACATAGGTGGAGACCTGCAAAGAGCGCATCATATCGTTAGAGCTGCAAGTGCCTGAGGCCGACGAAGGAACACTTGATGATACACAACCACCGCTGGAGCTGCAGGCAGATGATGATTTCGACAACGATGACTACGACGAGGACGAGAACGACGACGATGATGATGATGATGATGACGATGATGAGGAGGAGGACACTGCCTCCATTGTAACGGTGCAGGCAAACAGCGACAAACTGTTTCTGCGCCAAGATGCCGATGCCTATGGCCCATCGTCCATTGAGAGCGCCGCGTCGGGCAAGGTACGCATTAAAGCGACGCCACTTACAATGCACCAGACGCTGGCCAAGGAGACGACCATTGTCGAGGTGCTGAATCCCGTCATTGGTGGCGACGGTAGTGCGCGCACAATACAAGTGAGTGGCACGCCCTTCGACATGGATGAACTGGAGGAGGGCGCGACCTCGCTGCTGCGCAGCGAAACTTTTGTGCTGCTCACTGGGGGCGATGGCGGAGGCGCTGGCAAGTCGGAGCTGTCATTAAATGCAAAAATGAAGAATGTGCTTGAGGAGCTGCTAGAGAATAAACGCGTTAAATTGAATTTGCAAAAGAGCCTCGAGGATAACAGTGACAAGGATGGGGAAGACGACGGTGACGACGACGACGACGACGAGGCTGATAATGTATATGTAGATGCACGCGATGACGATGAGAGCGCCTATGTCGATGCCATGGAGGATGTTGTTGACTTTGGCCTTACAGCGGTACCTACAGGTAGAAATAAAGTGGAGGACGATGCCAAGAATGGCAATCAGCAGCTGCTGGAGGCGCTCATAAGAGACAGCAATCGCAATACCATTATGGGTAAACTAGCTAGCCAATTGGCAGCGAACAATGACGACGATGACGAAGAGGAGGACGACGACGAGGAGGAGGAAGACGAGAGTAGCGATTCTTCAGACGATGATAGCGATGAGTCCGATGAGGATGACAATGCCGAAGAGCAATTAAATATTGCCTACGTGCAGGGCGCACAGGTAATCGAGAATCTCAACACTGGGGCGACGGGCAGCAAACTGCAAAAGTCACAGACCTACAACACCATGAGGCAGGCGGAACAGGCACAGGATCCGGAAGAGGCTGTGGAGGAGGAGAAAGAGAAGGAGGAGCAAGCAAGTGGCAAGGCACAGAGTACATCACCCTGTGGCGACACACTTGCCCAGCTACAGGCCGAGCAGCGTGCCCTGGCAGAGATCTCAAAACAGCTGCGCAAGTCTGTCGAGGATTTGCTCAGCGCCGATGGCACCGGTTCAGTGGTGGAAACGCAACGCACCTACACTCTGCCAGCGTCCAGTGACAATGCCGCCGTTGTCACCGTCACCGAGGTGGTGAAGAAACAAAAGAAAATTGGACGCCCCTCAAGCTCTGGTGAATCTGGCGAGGCTATATTCAATCGTCTGCTCAGCGCCGGCGAGTCACAGCGTCAGATATTCGATCAGCAGCAGGGCGAAACTATCACAACCACCACCACAACCACTGAAGCATCGCCGGCAACTTCAGCATTGGCAGCGGCTGGCGAGCCCAGCACCAGTGTGGTAACCACAACGCGCACTGTCTCCAACATTGTCACCAGTGGCATTCCGAGGCTCGAGACAAGCAAGCAGCAAACCAGTCGCAACAACAATACCAACAACAACAACAACCGCAGCAAAAACAAGCGCAAAGCCAAGAAGAAATAGGCGACAGGGTGTGACAAATTGCGCATACCACACATGGTCTGTATGGGAACCAACTACAAACATGCATACAAATATTCTCACGAGCCCCTCACCACCAAACCCGTCCCCCAACTCACATAGATATAGTCACATATCAGCGCATTAAGGAGCATTTAACAATGTGCCGTTATACATAATGAATGTACGTTTTATATATGCCTACATATTACGTATGTACGATATATATATTACATATATGTATATAATTTTAATTAATTGTGCAAACAACGTGTCGTTGCATTTAAAAACACATTTGTTACTAATCAGAAAACGTGTGCCGAAAAAAGCAAGAACAACAACACAAATTCCAAATTAAAACATAAAAAAACATATAAATCAAAACCCTGCGAGCTTTTAACAACATTTAATCCATAAACAACAACAACAAATGTCAATTAAAACTTCCCATGGCCCAAGGAACTAAATAATATAATTGCGATAAACAAAAATCTTATTTAATTTATTTAAATAATTTCATTTTGTTTTGCATTTAAACCTCATTTACATTTCTTTTTTTTATGTTGACAATATGAATTTTTATTCTTTAATAAATTTAATTTGCGTTTTTTGTTTTAGCATAATAAAAAAATAAAAAAATAAAAACGCCCCAGAGCCGGTCAAAAGTATTTTCGATGATCCCTACTCTTACAAAAGTATGCGCCCCGAGCATTCCGACCGCCCACCTTGAATTGGGCCTAATCTTATGCATAGCTCTAAGCGACACAACACTAAAAACCAACAGCAGCAACAACTTGTGGAAAGTTTAATTATAATGTTCGATATATGTATTTATGGTGTTGTATTATTATAGTTGCTGCTAACTTGTAGTTATTGTATACAAAGCACAACAACAATATACAAGGTAGTCATCCTCAAAATGCATAAATTAATTTGTAATTGTAAAAAACCCAATACAAACAAGAAAAAAAGTAATAAAAAAAGATGTAATACTTACCTTTAAAATGATGATATGTATGTAGCGTATAAGTAAGAATACAAACTTTTTATAAACTGAAAAAGAAAAAAGAAAACATTGCTGCAATGTAATAAACAATTCAATTCATTTTTTATTTTGAAATTGATCTTTTTACTATGACACCCACATTCCTGCCTGATTTATATAACACATTATTTCCATTTAAATTATTGCTTTTTGCTCCCACACAAAATACTACTGGAATTATGTCAAATGGCCAAATAGCTGTGCTATATATAACATTGTTGGATAAATGAAGCGACATTCTATTTTTATACTGCTTTTAAAGTGGTGGATTTTAGACTGACATCAAAAGTGCAGCACGTGCCACAAGGCTTATATATGACTAGTCATCTGATGAGTGGCCAAAACCACAATGTGCAATTTTTTGGTTTAAAGAGCTTATAGATTTTTATGGATCGTGTGCATTTTAGATTGGCGATTATATATAAGTTTCTGATATCTTTGAGAATAATAACTCAATGCTTATTAAGTATTACATATACACATATTAAAATAGTAAAGCTAACAGTAACAGCAAAGCTGAGTATGGTTTACCAAATCCTCAGCAAAGGGAATTATTCAAACGTTTCCTGTGGTCTTTGGCGAAAATCGCTATGCCTTAAAATGCTAGATACAAGTTATATTATGCTTTCCGAGGGCGCAAGGGAAATTAAAGGCAGGCATTAAACAGAAGCAACCAATTGAATATGTAGCACTTGTGTTGTCGCCACAGGCAGAACGAGGACGGCATTAAGTTAAATGCTATAACGGAAAACGCTCCCATTTTAGTGAATGCGCAACAAAACAGCGTCGGAAATGTCGCGTCTTCTGCTGAAGTAGTCAAAAAGATAGACGGTTGACAGGCACATGGGCGTGGCAGGAGGAGCTGCTAATGTAAAAATCGTTAGAATTTGTTGTACGCAACGCAACATAACATTCACATCAACTCCGGCAGCCAGCGAGCAGCAAGTTTCAAGCGGAAGCTCTCGACACCGGTAGCGTTGAGCGCTTTGGGGCTTACGTTGCGTATGTGCAATGTGCATAATTCGATTTAAAGTGCGCACAAACTGAGAGGATACGTTATGCACATGTATTTTTTAGGTACTTTCAGCAGGTACCTGTGTCAGCATTTTAAATATTTAATGCCAACCAATTGAATTACACTGCTACAAAAATAGTCATCGGATGCCTCTAGTGGTTGCAGCAGTTGTTGCTGCTGACGTAAGTTCTGCTGCATGTGCAGGCGACGTTGCCAAGTGCAAACTGTTCTGCTCTAGGCAGGTCCAGCGCCTGCTGTGAGCTGAGCAAGACAAATGAATGCGTCAGTCCCGACTCTTGCCTCGTGCATTCCCCATGCATTTACATTTGTGCAACACTTCAACTGCAGGCGCCACGCATGAGAAATGCTGCGGGCATTTTGGTAATGTCGTATCTAATGCTACCAAATACCAAATGTGCTGCGCATTAATCTAAATCTCATTTTTGTGACTGTAATCCAATGTTGTTATGGTTATTGTATTGGTTGCTGATTTTCTGCATCTTACTGTGGGTTGAGAACAACAGCAGCTTGTCACATTCTAATACACTTCACTGATCTGACAATGTAGTCAACGCCATTGCGGGTCAGGGTGGGGCGGAGTACTCATTACATGGACTGTCTGCGCCAAAAACTCCAAACAATTGTCGTCCCCTGTCAAATTTAATAGTATTATGCTTTGTTAAACACAAAATGTCCTCGCACACGCACACACATAAGCTACCCTGCACACCCATTTATATATAAAAAAAATTGTTATGTTGAGCAGGGGATGTATGTTTGTCATACGAAATACAGCACTTGGTGTTTGAAAATGTTCACATTACACACATAAATTCTGCTGTTCTTCGTCGGTGCTAGAAAAATGAAAAATGTCCAGTTTGCACTGCGAGCACATACCATCGCACACGGTCACTCACAAACTCACCCACACACCCCTATATACAGATGCGTACACGCAGGTGTCCCGTGCTGGTTTAGTCCTTGGGTGCGCTCGTAGTACTGTTTGCCAGCGCCAGTTGCTGAGTTATCTAGCAAATAATGGAACGTGCTGTGCAGCTGATGCGTTTTCATAAATTTAAAATAAGCGCAGCAGCTGACACATTACTCGCAAGCAGCAGAACAGCATCAGACACACCAACAACCTTAACGAGATGACAGACGTCTGTGCGACTGCATAATTCGCCATATTATGGTACAGTTTAACTTCTCTGAAAACTATTAACTGGTCGGGAATAAGTTGGAACACGCATTTATTGAGTGTTTCTGCTGTATCTGCTGTGCTCAAAAGAAAATGCTTACAACTGGAACCCTCCAACACAACCAAGTAAGTTCAAATCAAGTTTCGTTTCAAAATTTATTACTAAAAACAGCATTATAATGGCACTTTCGACTAGCCGTTTAGCTTATCATACACACAATGGAGATACATTCATTTGAAACTTAGAGCTGAAATTAATAAGCACGTTTTAGATTAATAGTCAAATACATATGGCCATCACATTTTTATTGGGAAATAGAGTATGGGTTATATATTTTTTATATTATTATTATTACTAAAACATTCATTGTATAGCTATCAACTATTAATCTACATTATAAATAGATGGAAAATACTTAGAATAGATATGGAGTATCTTTTGTGATTACTAAACACTTTTTACGTTTTTTATTCCTACAGTACATTCAAAACACATAAGTTAAATTGAGCGATATTGCAATACCGATGATGCCTGTACCCAAAGAATTATGGTTGTCACATTTACTGCTTTTTTTTTATGTATGTAAATATATATATAAATATATTTTTTTTTTTATTTTTGCTTATATATTCACATAAATATTTCGCTCAGATTGAGATATTCATCCGCAAATTGCACTTGCATAATAATATATGGACAGAGCGCTCCATAAAAATGGGTTACATGGGTACAAGGACAATGAGAAAGCAGTTTGACAGTACTGGCAGCGCATAAAAATGCAATGCTCGTCCTGCAATTTAGATTGCGCCTCTTGGCTCCAGTGAAAGCCGCTCGGTGATGTGCCTATAATGTTTCTATTGTTATTGTTGCTGTTGGTGCTTCAGCCTGTTGCTGTTTACAGCAACTGATGCGCGCATGCGTTGGAAAACTACGGAAACTGTTGCAGTTGGTAGGACAACACACATTGCCCCTAAAAAGCCCAGTTTTATCCGTTTGGCTTATCCAAAAACGGAGCCGCCTTTATTAGCTGCCGCCTCCTTGTGTAGGGCTCACGTCCCCAGGGCAGTACTTGTCGTCGACGTTTTCCTCGTTCTCGTCGTTATTGTACTCATCCCCTTTAGTTGCTCTTAGTATCCTAACCTGAAAGCCCACGCAAGGCTTTCGTTTTCTTTTTTGTTTCAATGCCTGGAATGCTTCGCTACTGCTGCTTTTAAAGCTTCTTTTTTTTTGGCATTCGACTTTGGCGTGCTTTTCTCTGCTGCGCAACTTGGCTTGACTTCGCGGAGCTACCGCTGCGACTGGTTTCCAATTGCAATTTTCAAGGATAAGGATATGCTCGAAACAGATTTATATGGGGGGCTCAGTATGTGCTGAATTTATTAATGCTGTGCGAGCAATGGGTTCGACGAATTTCGCTACAATTGTTAGCCAACATCGGAGTACGCGATCCCATAACAATGTCTCCCAGTCGAGTTATATAAGATGTGGTCTCTGTCATATTGAAGTTCGCAAATCAACAATAAGCTGGGAGTTGAAGCCTAATTGCCTGGCATTTGAATAATAAGATTTGAAATGGAATATACAACTCGGCATAACTAAACATATTTGTTGTTTTAGTTCTGTGACTCAATGAGGTCGATGAAACGAACGGAAGTTCGAGCAGGTGCTGCCCTTGTTAGTGTGTGTGATTCTGAACAACACTCACGTATTCGCATTAACGAACTTCGGTGCTTTAAGTGCACTCGAAAAGAAAAGACCAACATATCCAAAAAGATCCAAG